ACGCCAGCAGTTAAAAAACGCACAAATTTGTCCACATTCAGTTTTTAATTCATATCTCAACAAATATTTACAGGAATAACACCTACAATATGTCATTTTAAAGTGTATAGAATGGGCTTCTCAGGAAAAAAAAAATTCATCATTGAAACCCAGGAATTTCCTAAAAAGTAAATTTTAAAACACAAAATAAGTAAGACATAGTGTAAAACTTGAGGTAAAAGTCACTTTTCCTCATAGGTATAGGTTAAACGATATGGCTGCGTAGGATGAAATAGTTGTTTTTATTAATTGGCTCAGTGTGGTTTATTTTCTGACACATGACACAGTAGATATACCGTCTTATCTCCATGTTTATGTCTCTCTTGAAGACGGCATAAGCGAAGGGGTTAACGACGGATTTCAGTACAAGAAAGGGTAATATTCTTGATCATCACACGACAACAAGATCAAACCTAGGCACAAACAACCACCTAGGATCTACGACTTACCTAAGATACACAACCCCAACACACCGTGAGGACCAATTGAATCATGTATTAACACCTTTGCTTACGATCTGTTGGCATACCTAGCCATTATCCTTGACAGGTAAGTCAGACTACTCAGTTATTAACTCTACGCACTTCGCGTCAACCATCAGTCACGAGAAAGTACATGATCACGAGGTCATGGTATCTTTTGACGTAGAATCGTTGTTTACAAAAGTAACGATTGAGGATGCAGTTCAAGCCGCATGACGAAAAATAGAGAACGAAAGCGATCTTGCTCACAAACTTAACACCTACACAAATTGCCGACCTCTTGAATTTCGTCTTAAGATCGACATATTTCCAATACAACGGGTCGATTTATGAACAGCAAGACGGAGCAGCTATGGGAAGCCCTGTTTCCGCTGTTACAGCTAACATCTACATGGAAGAATTTGAAGAACAGGCGATAGCAAATGCGACTTGCAAACCTAAGATCTGGAAACGATATGAGGATGACACTTTCACAGTCTTAGACCGGAACCATGTCAACGGCTTTTTATAACATCTAAACAGTGAACAGCCTATCATTCGTTTTACCATGGAAATCGAGAAGGATAACACCATTCCTTTTCTCGACACAACAGTTATAAGGGACTTCTCAGTACCACAGTCTACAGAAAGCCCACCCACTTTGACCAGTACCTAGCCTATGATTCATACCACCCTCAGTCAGTGAAGTGTGGTATTGTTAAGTGTCTTTACGACCGAGCCAAACATCTCACAACGAAACCGTCAGTTATCTCTAAGGAAAAGAAACACCAGTTATCAGTTCTTGTTTCTTATGGTTATCCCTCTTCATTTTTACTATGACTTGTAAAGACAACAAGAGTAACAGCCAACAGAAAAACCCGCGCAGGAATTAAAATCTACTGCCGTTCTCCCTTACATAAAGGGTGTGTCAGAGGTTCTTCGCCGCTGCCTACAACATGAAGGTATACGGACCGTTTTCAAGTCTGACACAATACTTAGGTCTCATTTAGTACGACCTAAAGACGCCCTGGAATCAACAAAACAAAACGGTGTCTTTACAAGATCCCATTTGAATGCGGCAAAGTGTACATCGGTGAAACAGGGAGATCAATGCGAGAAAGGATAAATGAACATGACAGAGACATACGGTTTGCTCGTACTCAGACCTCTGCGGGAAAAAAAGAGGAACAAAGTTGAGAGTATCTCCTCGTTCGTCATCTGACATAAAGAAAACAATGAATTCTAAGCTGGAAACATTAGGAGTAAGTCAATAACTTGTCATATAAGAAGCAGCCCTTTAAAACATGAAGATACGCACAGGAAAAAACGTTGAGCAAATTTTACAAAACGCGTCTTTTGAAAACTTTTTAGGATAAAAGACAACAGAGGTATTCAAGGGAGAAATGAACTATTTTACGCACGTAAAACAGTAATCAAGGAGGATGGGTAAGAACATGTTATACCCTGATAGAAAATATTTTGCTATTCTTATATTGCGAATTGCATCAAAAATACTCTCGACACGCGGTTTTTGCGAGGCAATCGATTATATTCTTAGTTGTGTTTAATCGAGCCTCTGTACATAACATGTTCAAAACCGAACGTTTTTCGCCCTGTTAAACTCCATCTACCTTGCTACTAAGAAAAGATAGCAATCCAATTTCCTGTAATTCCATATTTCTCAGTAGGGCCTGCACACTCTAAGACCAGTTACTAAACACAGCAAATTGAATGTCTCTTTTCATAAGGAGAAATTATTTATTTTTAAACCAAGTCACCCGAGCTATAAACTGACAAAACGATCGATCAAACTATCCTAATTTGCAAGTCAATGGTGACAGATATAATTTCAGCATAACCAGAAGCATTTTATTTCTCTTGTCACCCGAAAAATTCTACTTCTAAAAGTACTTCTACTGAAGTTTGGCAGACGTAATTAATATCAACAACAACGAGTACATGTCTAACAAAATAATCAATCACAATGAGATGAAAACGTTCTGAAAAAAATGTCTTAAATACGCATGATTCATACACAGAAAATCTTGCTGGATAAGGTCTTCCTTTGACAGGTTAAAACGGCTCAATAACGTAAAAACGATTTACTTATAATCCGAACTTGATTCGAATGTAAAAGCTTCACTGATTAAAAAAACTAAATTTCTAACTGTCTCAAAAGTCCACCGGCGGTTTTCCAAGGCAATTTTTTGGTTATCAGTGAACACTTGGCTTCGTGAGACTTTTCTGAATTTGCTCGTCGTGGGGCATTGTTAAAAAAATCTTCCTAGGACAAGACGACAAGTAAGCGGAAAATGATCCAAGGAACGAATGCGGAAGGTGTTTTTAAACGCATATCAGTTGTCCAACTTGATTGTTCAAAGGCTCAAAAATGCAGTTCACGGCACAAGACAAAAAAAATTTGAGCGAACCATTTATTTCGATTGTTTTTGCCTTCTTTTAGTCCAAGAAAAAAAAAATCATTGTAAGTTAACTAAAATAATCGTATTCACATTTGCGAACGACAAAATCTATACAGCGCTAGTGCTATGTTTCACTCGCTCTCCGTTGTATACACCACCGCTTAACCATTAATTAAGTCCGCAAATAAACACGATCTGCATACGCCAAATTAACGGTTCATCACGCATCTAAGAGCATATCTGTTTGACTCAGTATCTCCCCATGTTCATTTTAAGTAAGACCTTAATGTTTGATTCAAGATTTAACAATAATACCGTAAGGATAAGTTTGGTGCTAGTCCAGTCTTAAAGGTTTAGGATTAATGCATTAATTCAAAATTGGGTTGTTTGTTATGCAGGATAGCTAGAATTATCTCTTCCAGTAAACCAGCTGATCTCAACCGACATCAACATCAGAACTTATTTGCAATTTATTCCGGAATAGTACTAATTTTTTTCATTTGCAGCATATACATACTCTGCCGAGAAAATCTCAGAGTCAATTTTTAAAATTTTTAAAATTTTTTATTCTAAGTCCTCCTTGCACTTTTAAAAACCTGCGCAAATTTAGGCCCACCTTTTCAAGTTCCACCTGTTAAATTTTACCAGAGTCACTCAGCATGGACAGATAACTAACTCATTACTCTAACTTCTATGTTCTCGCTCAGTCTTGTTCCTTAAGAAAATTTAAACGCAACTCATTAAAGTTAACTTTTTCGACAAAGTAGAATTACTCGTTTTTCAAAACAACCTGATCTCAATTGACATCGACACTAGAACTTATTCATTTGCATTTTTTTCTCAGCGATACAACGTTTTTTAAATAAAACACGAGTGTAACATTTCATTTTGAGCTTTACCCAATAATTTGAATCCTAAAACTATACAACTTGTTCCCGGCTTATAAACATTAATTTATATAATGGGGAATGCTTGTATTGCGTTATGATCGATCCAAATAGAAAGTTATCAATTCGGACAAAAATCTATTTCTTGCGTTTAATTTAAACCAGCCTTTTCGTGATGGTCAGAAAGAACATAAAGCGACCTGTCAGAAATGCTAATATGGGCGAGTTGCGTCAAGCTCATGTCATGTGCAGCGAACTTCTGGCGGAAATTTTGACACAAAGCTAATAAAATTTTATTGTCGTCGCAGCGATGCCTACTTTAAGTCCGATTCGCACTTTTTGCATCGTGTACATACCTAATGTGAAACTCTTCCGCCCTGTTGAGTCGTATCCTCTTTAATTCGGGTGGAGAGATAATTATTAAACTACATGATAACCTTTAAATACTTCGTTATCGCAAGGGCTTCTTGTCACAAAAGAGCGAGTGAACGGCTGGCACTTTAAACGGACAAAAAAGCACTTGATTTCAATTGATATAAGACTAGATCTCGTTCATGTGAAATTTAGCATAACATATAATCCAAAAATTGCACTTCTAAAATTAATCAGTTGTTAGAGTGGTTTGGCAATACAAATCCATGTAAAATGGGATGTGTTTTAATCTTAAAATACAAGAAAAAGTTTAATTCAGCCAAAGCTTGCTCTTGATAAAATTATTCCATCCTTTTCTTTGACCTTATCCACTAAGTATATAGTGATAGCCGCCAAAATACCCTATCCTCAATATCGATGGACCAATATGATTTTGAGCTCTTTGAAAGAGTAGTACAAAGTTGTGTGACTTTTTTCAGATCACACGCGTACAGCGAATGCGTCGTTTTACTTCTTCTCCTATGTCCCTTGTGAACAGAGCGTAAGCAACAGGGTTAATGGCAGAGATGAAACAATAAGAGGTATTTTATATTCTTGATAATTACACGGACCTTCCTCTGTATAGAAAAGATATACAAGACTACATCGCAAAGAGCATGAATTAGCTAAAAGTAACAAATCAATAACAACTGCTATTATTTTCACGGCAGACTTCTCCTCGCTTTTGAATAAAACGTGATGATTGAAGTGGAGCTGTTTTGCTAAGAAGTTCCACAACCGTAGCGAGAGAAGAAAATGGTTGTTATCATAAACGAGCCAATTCAGTACAAAAGGGATAATAATGGCAATCGAGCTCGCCCAAGAAAAAAAGTCATGTGGGAAACTCGGCAGCGCTTCATTATCGTTAAGTACTTCAACGGCTTTACAACAGCAATGTAGCAATCCATAGCCAAACAACACAACAGCCAAGTTGGTTCAATGTGATAATGATGAAATGATGATAGGAAAGTTATAGTGCAATTCTTCAGAGCTTGAAAGAGTTGTGCACGCTGTGTAATATGTTTTAATTTTTTCCTTTTTTTAATTTTTTTAGGACACTTACAAAAGCTAGAGCATATTTATTAGCTCATATTTCCTGATACGCGACAAATTTCCCATGTTGTGCGAAAAACTTGATTTTACTTCAAAATGTAAACAAATGGCCATGAGAGAAATGAAAACAGATGAATAGTTACAGTTTGCGGAGGAGTTATCAGTAGACAGTTCATAGCTGCCCCTTTTGTCATCTTAGATCTAGAAAACAACAAATTCAAAATACTGACAATAATACACCTGTCACTGGAGATGTAGAGGTTTATTCTTCAGTTTTTTTTTTTAGCATTTATGAACGTTCGCATTTTAGTTGCAGGGGTGTAGTCCAAATCAGCTGCTGTCTGCCTTTATTATTATTATTATGCGTGTTTGACGTTATGATCTAAACTATTAATTTGGAAAAAGTCTTGAATCATTAAGTGGTTCAATGTTATTTCTCTTCTTCAAGACCACACAGCAAATGCGTCTTTCCACCTCCTCTTTTATGTCCCTCTTGAAGAAAGCGTAAGCAACAGGGTTTATGGCAGAGTTTAAAACGAGGAGAGGTATTTTATATTCTTTATCATCACATAACTGTTTGTTCTTCAGGATATGTACTAGACTGCATCGCAAAGAAAACGTGTGAGTAAGAGTAAAGAGGCCTATAACAATTCCCATCACTTTCACAGCAGACATCTCCCCGCTTTTGAACAAAAATCGTTGATTAAAGCGGAGTTGCTTAGTTAGGATACGAGCGGCTTTACTGTGTTTATAAACTACTTGAAACATTAAACCAAAGCAAAAGATAAGACCACAACACGGCAGGAACTCGAAAAAAATCATGATTATCCAAGAGGAAATCAAGAAAAGAGAACGATTGTCGTTAAAAACGAGCCATATGAGAAAATCGAAAAAAATAAGAATTAAAAGTGCCCAGGAAATAAAAATCATCTGAGAAACACGTCTGCGCGTCATGAACAATATGTATTTGAGAGGCTTCACAACAGCTATGTAGCGATCCAGGACTAAACTACATAAGTTTGTTACAGACGCATATGTAAACAGCCACCTTAGATAATCCACCCCGTCGGCAAAAGGGGCTTCAGGATCGCATCCAGTTGTCTTCTTGCAGACAAAAAGTGGGGGAACGGCACTCAGCCCAACACAGAAATCTGCCATAGCAAGTGAAACGACAAACGCGTTGGTTTTAGTTCGAAGCCGCCGTCGTCTACAAACAAGGAAAATGATAAATCCATTTCCAGCTATGGTTACGATGGAAAGAGACCAGCCAAGAATCCAAAACCAGGTTTCCATTAGGGAGTTTTTTAGTGACGTTACTCAAGTGAAAATACAGAAGATAACTTTCGATAAAAAACTGATCGAAGACCCGCCGTGCTAGTTCCTTGACTAAGGACCATTTTTACTGACACCTGGCACGAGCCTGTTAAAATGCTAAATTTGGGAGATGGACTTTGTTTATGGAAACACCATCTAACAACCGGAATAATAATGAAGATCAAAATGTAGCAATAACAGTATACCAACGTGCTACAAATAGCGACTCGTAAACAATCGACTCATCGCCTGATGAAGATTAGCAGTATTGCAGTCGAAACGTCGCGATCTACATCAAAAGTGACTCTATCGTGAGACAAACGAACAAATTTCATCTCCTATCTAACACCACGACGAACAGTAAGCACATATCTTATTACAATGCTAAATTTGTTTGCCGACAAACTGGAGCTTGTGTCAAACTATGACATACTCAGCGATAACACTAAATTGTATCTTAGTCCGGCGCGTTGGCGTTTAAATCGGCTGCCAATTACGTATGTAAAGTTATATATTTAATACAAAACCTCTCCTGCCTCTTTATCTGCTTCACCCATAACGTAAAGATAAATAGCAGATTTTAGAACTCCCTGCTCTCAATGTGGCTGATTTTAACGGAAAACGTGGACACGAATTCAAACAAGTACCAGAACTTCTGACCCAAAATGTGGCTCGGAATAAAAGTTATTCATATATCTAGTCCAGAGCAGAAACATTCACCTTTCAGTACTCAACTATTGTTAGTGTTTCCTTTCCTTTGTACATCCTTAATACATTGACTCAATATGTTTGAAAAAAAAATTAAGTTTTAACTTGTTCTCGCTAAGACAAGTGAAAGTATAGATTCACCGACTTCTTGATTTTAAAACATTGACCGCATTGGACCATTTCTCTTTACAGTGATAACAGTTTACAGTAATACTTTTAATACCCTTCATGTTTACTGGCTGTCCTTGATGTAAACATAGCAATGACACTGGAGTAAATTAGAAATATAGCTTTGAGTAAAGTACTTTAAGACTTAATACAACTTAATAATAATAATAATAATAATAATAATAATTTTATTTATATAGCGCTAAAATCCAATAATTGTCCAAAGCGCTACCTAATTACAAAATAAAATATAAGAAATATAAAATATAAAATATCTACAATATACAATATAATTCAAATATAGCCTAAGTTATCTACCATATAAATCAAAAACATCTCAAAACAAAAGGAATCTCATAACCTATATGCTAACTTAAATAAAAAAGTTTTAAGGGATTGCTTAAAAGTTGCCACTGAAGCACATTTCCTAATCTCTAGAGGTAAATCGTTCCACAATTTAGGTCCTGCAATAGAGAAAGCTCTGTCTCCATATGTTTTCAATCTGCTTCTTGGAACCACTAAATATTCTTTACATGAAGAACGCAATGACCTAGAGTATGTTTTAAAATTCAAAAGGTCAGAAATATAAGAAGGTGCAAGGCCATGAAGGGCCTTGTATACCAATAAAAGGACGTTAAAAGTTATTCTAAACTCAACTGGTAACCAATGAAGATTAATTAAAATAGGAGTTATATGAACATGCCTCGGTGTCAATATGACAACACGAGCTGCAGCATTCTGAACTGCCTGTAGTCTAGCTAACAGATACTTAGGAAGGCCATGTAATAAGGAATTACAGTGATCGAGTTTCGAACTAATAAATGCATGGACTAAGATTTTACATGTATCTTGGCTTAAGTACTTGCGGATTTTAGCAATATTTCTCGAATGATAGAATGATGATTTACAAATGTTCTTAATGTGCTCCTCAAAACTAAATATGCTATCAAACTGAACCCCTAAATTACGAACAGAGTCACGAGGTGCAATGCACTCAGAACTAACAGTAATGTGACCGATGTCAGGCATGGGATGGAATCTGGAACTGATGACTACAAGGTCCGTTTTGTCCTGGTTTAGTTTAAGATAGTTACTTATCATCCATTCATCAATGTCCCTCACACAGCATTCCACTCTCAACTTCACTTGTTGGATGTCATTCAAGCTGGTAGATTGAAAGGTAATATATAATTGGGTGTCGTCAGCATATAGATGGTATGATAGTCCATGATCATTTATTATGTCCGCAATAGGTGATGTGTATAACAAATACAACAAAGGGCCCAGAACTGATCCCTGAGGGACACCACACTTCAATGCACGTTGTGAAGAATGACTATTCCCAACTTTAACAAACAGCTTACGTGAATACAGGTATGATTTCAGCCACTTAAGCACAGTTCCTTGAAAACCAAAACAAGTAGATAGCCTTGTCACTAGAAGAGTATGGTCCACCGTATCAAACGCCGCCGACAGATCCAAAAGTACCAGTATGACCGACTCATTACGATCTGAAGCACAAAGAATGTCATTTTGAACTCTCAGTAGAGCCGTTTCAGTGGAGTGAAATGACTTGTATGAGGATTGAAACGTTTCCGAAAGACCATTAGATGTAATATAGCCTGTAAGCTGGACACATACCGCTTTTTCCACAAGCTTGGACACAAACTTCAAATTAGAAATAGGTCGAAAACTTTCATATTTAGTGAAATCAGCATTATGTTTCTTTAAAGTCGGTGTCATAGCTGCAATCTTCAAGACATTAGGCATAACTCCAGTAGATAAAGATGTATTCACTATGTTAGTCAACACAGGAGTTAGTAAATTGAAACATTCCTTCATTACCACTGCAGGCAGAGGATCAAGTACACAGGATTTATTAATAGATCTCAATGCAAGTCCCTTGATGTCTTCGTAACTGACATTAATAAAGTCTGAAAACACAGAGTTACATTCCACGTAGTTACCAAGAGTCACTTCATTAGCATCATTACCTTGCGCAGAATTCTTCTCTATTAGTGTGGCATGGATACGATCAATCTTGTCAATGAAATAATCAGCGAAAGAATTAGCTAGTGCATCACTACAAGAAGATGGATACCGTGCAGTTGATTGCTTTTGTAGTAGTTTTGATACTGTATTAAACAAAACCCGTTGATCACTTGAGTTTTCAGTAATGATGGTAGTGTAGTAAGAGGATTTCAACGACTTGATCAAATTATTCACAACACAGCACTGACGATTATATTCTTGTCGATCAGCCTGCAGCCTGGTTCTTCGCCATTTTCTTTCAAGGCGTCGTCGCTTACGCTTCTCTGCAGATACCTCATTAGTGTACCACGGAGCAGCAGGCCTAATAGTAACAACTCGGCGCTTGACAGGAGCATGCTTGTCCATTATTGATCTTAATAAGGTGTCATACTGTTGAACTAGATGATCGAGATCGCTGGATGGATCGATGACAAGAGGGCAGTCAGCAACATCACTAAGAAACGACTCCATGTCAAGAGACCGAAGCTTCCGATAGAAGATAACTTCCTTCCTAAACTGGGGCTTTCTTATGGAGACATCACACATTACCGCCAAATGATCAGAGATGTTAGGATCATAGACTTTGATATGATTGAGCATGTTATCATCAGACTTATTTATAAGTAAGTCAAGAGTATGGCCATTGCGATGAGTCCCAGCACAGACACGTTGTTTAAGGTCAAAAGATTCCAAGATGTCAGTAAAACGTTTGGCATTTACATCATCTTGACAATCCATATGCAAGTTAAAGTCACCAGTAATTAGGACTCGATCAGAAGACTCCACGGTTACAGATTCAAGTAGATGTGAGAATTCCTCAAAAAATCGATTGAAAGAGGAATTATCAGGTGGACGATAGATGACTAAGATCCTGACACTATATAGGCTCCGAAGACGAACATCCATGATTTCAAATGTATCATAATCAACTGTTAATGAAGTGTTGATGTTCAGCACATCCTTAAATAAGATCCCAACACCGCCTCCTCTTCCTTGTTTCCTGGGAACATGTAGGAATCTATAACCTGTTGGACACAGTGTTCCAATCTCAACATCATCCATATTGTGTGGTCTCAGCCAGGTCTCAGTAAAAGCTAGAATATCTATATCAAAATCCACCACAAAATCTTTAACCTCCATTGTCTTATTACGCACGGAGCGTGTGTTCAGTAGAGAGAAATTTAAGCAATGCAATAAACCATTTTCACTGTATGGAATTTGCGCAGAATTTTGTGAAGAGACTTCAGGCCCAGGATGCGGATGTACATCACCACTAACCAATAGAGATATTACCATGGAGTTAAAGGAGGCCGTAGTATTACTGTAATAAGATATTCTGCTTTTAAACCATTTTCTCTTCGGAGTCCTTAATAACAAACCTTTGTTCGGACTCATAAAGAAAAACAACCCATGGGAGGAGAATGCAAATAAGCTTCTCTGCCAGCGAGTAATCCGAGCGTGACTCATAAAGAAAACCATCCCATGGGAGGAAAATGCAAATGAGCTTTGTTCTTAAGAGAACAGCATTCCATCAAGTGGGGGGAAAATAGCGGCACTCATTATCACTTTATGCCACAGGAACCGCAATGAGATCACCCAGTTATGCGAATCAATCTCTAACTTTACTTTCAAACTTTACTCCTTTCACACTACATGTGTGTTGCATCGAAGAGATCTTCAAATGAGACCTTCAAATAGACTTGAACGTGAAAATGAAATTTTTCTTGGCGACCAGTCATTATTTATTACCTGGGTGGGATGGAAGGGGGAGTTTTTGGAGGATTTGGGGGATCAGGTGGTTTTCATGAGAAAACGGAGGGAGACATCAGTCATCGCCAACAAAGTATGAAGAGGGGGACTAAAGAAAATTGACTGCAAATTAAAGTACCAGTGAAAAGGGAGCACAAAAATATTACAAAGCTTTATGGGGGATCAGGTTAAATTTTATTGCCCCACGCGATTCATAATGGTACATAGGACTGAAAACCCTGATCGACTGATTGATTAACTTAGTGATTGACTGATGAACTGACAGGCGGACACACTGAATGAGTAAGAGGTAGGTTTCTAATTATAAAGAAACTGTGGTGCTGCGTCGGTGGCAGAGTACAACAGGGTAATTAAGTATTATCAATTAAGTTCATGACGGAAATTGGCCACCATGACGAATTTTAAAGCTGATATTTCTAGCTTTAGTCCTTCTTCAGAGCCAATGTAGGAATTGAGGGTTGTGTGTGTTTATATGCAGAAAAAGGAAGCTACGCTAATGGCGTAAACGTGATAATATTGCTTCCTCATCGCCATATTTACACCAATAGCTTAGCTCCTTTTGTCTTCATAAAAACATACACACCACCCACAATTCCTCCATTCGCTCTGACGAAGGGCTAACGCTCGAAACATTAGCTTCAAAACTCTTTACGGGGGCCAATTTACATTATCAACTCAGTTGATAATACTAAATTGACTGAATGAATACCCTGACTGACTGATTTACTAGCAGGTGGACTGGGTGACTAATAAACTGACTGAAAACTTACTGACTGATTGACCGACTGACTGACTCAAAGACTGGTATGCAAAACTATAAAATAAAACAAACAGATTAGCATAATTAGAGAAAAAAAAAGAGATTAAAAGGAACGAGAATAGGCAAGAAAAGATGAGACTACAAGAATCTTTTTTGACCATTATGTGCCTGATCTACTCTTTTCATCATACAAACACCGTACGCAAATCCTTAAACATGATATTAATTTCATAATTTAGTTATCAACTGCTAACTGCAGGTGGAAAGATTGATAATAGGTAACTGAATATTTCTGGTTGACGACAAGTTCATCCAAGGTTTTTAGTTCTGGTTTGACGTGCTATGCATTATAGCTGCGTAGGATGAAAGAGTTGTTTTCATTAATGGGCTTAATGTGGTTCCTTTTTTTACATATGAAACAGCAAATATACCGTGTTACCTCCATGTTTATGTCTCTCTTGAAGATAGCGTAGGCGACGGGGTTAATGGCGGAGTTTAATACAAGAAGGGGTATTTTATATTCTTGATCATCACACGGTTTTTCGTCTTTCAAAATGTAAATAAAGCTACATCGCAAAGCTAACGAATAAGCTACAAGAAACAAGCCGATAACAATTGCCATTATTTTTACAGCAGATTTCCCCTGGACTCTGAACAAAAATCGGTGGTTAAAGCGCAGTTGTTTTGCTAAGATATGGGCGGCTCTTTCGTGCTTATAAATAACATAGTACATTGATCCAAAGCAGAAAATTAGACCGCAACACGGTAAGAATTCTAACAAAAACATTAGAATCGATATCAGCACTTTAAACAACAGACCCTCCCTAAAAACAAGCCAGTTTAGTATAAAAGCCAAGACGATAACCACTGCAATGGTCCAGGATATAAAGATCATCTGGGAAACACGTCTTCGCGTCATAAAAGTCAAATACCTTAAAGGCTTCACAACTGCAACGTAACGCTCCAGCACTAAACAGCATAAGTTTGTCACGGACGCGTACATGAACAGCCACCTTAAATAGTCCACTCCGCTCGCAAGGAAAGCCTTTGGGTCGCATCCAGTTATTGCGTCGCAGAGGAAAAGCGGAGGGAAGGCACTCAACCCAGTACAGAAGTCCGCCACTGCAAGAGAAAATATAAATGCGTTGGTTTTGGTGCGAAGCCGCCGTCTTGTGCAGACAAGGAAGATAATAAATCCATTTCCAGTCATGGTCAGGATGGAAAGAGACCAGCCAACAATCCAAAACCATGTTTCCATATTGCTATTCCAAGTGGCCGGCCCTACACAAATAACGTCGAGAGGATTAAACTTCCGGTGCGGAGCTAACATAAACAATTCGCAAATTATTTGAAAACACCTGGTGATTTTGTCTTGTGTAAAGTCCCCCGTAAATCCCCTTATAATTGATTAACCAGCCTGAATTCTCGCCGTTCTTATTGAAGGTCAACAGCCTCCATTCCTTGATTGATAAGTCATGAAATGCAGGAAGTAAACTGATCATAAGAGAAACACGCTCGGGGGAAACATTCGTGATTACTTCTGTATTAAATTTTGAAAATTGCTCAAATTACCATGTTGGCGTTAACATGATATTTTGGTCAACGGAAAGGGATAGCTAGATTTGACAAGCTGTTTCGATTGAGGACATTATCAGGTCCTAAAAAATAGACACATCGAACCATAACATTTGTATGAACATTCTCCATACTCTTCTCTATAAATTTTCTACGGTCATGACAAGAAGAAATTCCCTCTCGGGTTTGTTTATTAAGGTTTAAAGATTCAACACTGAAGAATTTTGAACTGTTTTTCTAAAACTATTTGATGTTAACTGGCATCAACGCTAGAACTCCTTCATTTGCAAATTAGCCCAGCAAAGCAGCTTTATTCAAATATAGCACAAGTAGAAACACTTTATTTTGTGCTTCACCCAAAACATTTTGTCTAAAATTAGACTACTTATATTGTATGCGAGTCATTAAATGGTTCAATGTTGTTTCTCTTCTTTCAGATAACGCAGCAAATGCATCGTTTTGCTTCCTCTTTTTGTTTCTCTTAAACAGAGCGTAAGCAACTGGTTGATGGCAGAGTTTAAAACTAACAGAGGCAATTTGAATTTTTTATCATTACATGGTTGTTTGTCTTTCATTATGTAAATAAGACTACACCGCAGATAACATGCGGAACAAACAAGGAACAGGCCAATAACAATGGCCATCACTTTCACAGCCGACTTCTCCCCGTTTTTGAGCAACTGAGGACCTTAAGATCCGAGGACGGCGGATGTCTACGACGGCTGTAATGACCGAGGGGGACTGGGAAGAATATGCCGTCGCAAGGCGCGAAAAATCCTTAAGAGACCAAGTCGAAGGCGCGGGCGGCATTGTTTACATATTTTCGATTTTTATCATAAATTACTTCAGTCATGGCCTCCTTTAGAGAGATTCGTAACATTCTTCTGCAAAGTTTTGATGATGGCGATATATCAGAGGACGAGTTCCTTCTTCTTTCTTCTTGTGACGTTAACACATCCAAAAACCCAGATTTTCCTTATGAAAGTTTTGGGAAATTTGATTTAAATGATATAGATGACAGTGAGTGTTTATCCGAGTTTCGTTTTCGTAAGAGTGACCTTCCCGTCCTTTCTGAGGCCCTACATCTTCCTAACTACATTACATGTCAACAAGGAACAATATGCGATGGAATTGAAGGGTTGTGTATCGCACTTCGAAGGTTTGCGTAACCATGTAGAATCAGTGGTTTAATTCCACGATTCAGCCGTCCAGTTCCAGAGCTAATTATGACTTCCAGCCTTGTGGTGGATAAATTTATCGGAACATAATCACAGAATAACTAAGTGGAACAATACACTACTGAACCCAGGAACACAAAACGTCCGGTTTCTATAACATTAAGTCTTTAATCAAGTTTATTTGAATCAAAAAGTCTGAACATGAAGCTGATATAACATGGAAAACCTAACAATAAAAAGCAAGTGTACAAAACAAAATCAAGAAACATATGCCTGAAATTGCTGAAACCTACATTCATCTTGCACAGCACAAAATCAGGCCATGACTTAGTTTTGTTTTTCTAGAAGTTTTATTATAATTTGAGACTGCTGCTGCTGCATTAGCGTGAACATCTTCTGAAAATTTTGCACATTGTTCTTGTTGCTGATTCGTTTGCTGCAGCATGACCTGCATCAAATCCTGATGTTGCTTTTTGGACTGCTCCTCCTTCTTGCTTTCAGCCTCTAGTCGCTGCTTCTGTAGCTGCATTTCTTCCATTTTCCATTTCTGCACGAGATCCTTCTTTCCTTGCAAATATGCCACCATGTCACTACCACTTCTTCGATGTTTTCCTCTTGCTGCTGTTTCATTCTCTACCTCATCTTTCCTTTGTCTTTTCTGTGACCTGCCGAGGTTCTCTAGAGTTCTGTATCTCATATCCGCTGCTTTGGCACAATTGACTTTCTTTTTGTTATTTTGCGCTGTTTCTTCAACCACAGCTTCTTTTTCTACTATCTCCTCAAGTGTTTTTTCAATGTCACTCAAATCTGTATCTATTCCACTTTCCTTTTCTTCATCTCGCATCTTTGCTCTAAATTTGTCGCTCAAAAGCGTATATCGTTCTCTGACAGATCGCTTCGTCACCCTGAACTGGGGATGTTGAAAGCTGTTCAGATTGTTCGCTATTTTATCCCAAATTTGGCCCTGTGCAATGCTTCCCTTCTTTTCCTTGAATGGTTCAAGAACGAGAATCTCCTGACAAAGAATATTGTCATGTTGTTGTTTATCATTTACTAAGCGTAATTCGTGTTGAGTTTCACCACATTCATTTTTAAAAACGTGAAGAAGAGAGAATAAGAGAACTTACTGAGCAATCTTCTTGGCACTCGTGTCGGCTGAAGCCATGACCTGTTTAGAGGAGAAGAAAGAAAACATGTTTTTTCTCGAAAATCAGGTCCCAGAAGAATAGGTAAACGAATTAAAATGTTATTGACTCCATAATGCGCAAAATATTCGAAAATTGTAAAAGATATTTTATAAAAACACTGTAATCAACTCGCATTTTGTACGAAACGGCAAACTAGTTGTTTTGATGTCGCAGACAACACAGCTACAGCGGGAATTTACGGGGAACTGCTACCGGAAGTAGGTAAACACGCATTCAAACTTCCGCCCGCCGTCGTAGGCATCCGCCGTCCTCGCATCTTAAGGTCCCTAATATCGATGATTAAAGCAAAGTTATTTCGCTGAGATGCGGGCGGCTCGTTCGTTCTTATAAACAACATCTAACATCATCGGCGTACGGGAAAAATTTTGGTGGGGGGGCTGAACATAATTTGCCCGAATGAAACTTGTTGGTCAGATGCACAAGATGATTCTTTCACGACGTCAAGTTTTCTTCACCATACCTTGAGAGCTAGGGCGTTCAAAATAGTGCAAATATTTTCGGTAAATCGAGATCAACATTTCTAAAATACAAAACCAAGAAGTAAGAGATAAAGCGTACCCATTTGAGCTCTAAAAGAAGTATGAAGAACGATTACTTCAAGACCCAAATATGTCAATAATCCTTTGCATGTCATTCTGCATTGTCTTGTTCGCATACTTTCTTTTAATGTTAATGACGGCGATACTGCTAAGTCTCTCTTGTCCCATTGTGAATCTTAAAAATTTCTTGATGTGGCGAAGGGCGCTGAAAGACCTTTCAACTTTATATAGAACGGGTAAAATGTCATGGAGACCATTTTGATGCATGGTCTTTACCATCACGGCTGCGTTTCTTCTCTGGCATGGGTCCCCGCAGTCGTAGTTTTCAACTGATAGCATTTCACTATCCACGTCATAGAAATTTGATACAGTTTGGATATTGTTGATGCTTGGAGAATGGCTGAATACGATTTCGCTCAATGCGCACAAAACCTCCTGGTCATTGCCCTCAAACCTTGATTGAAGTTCACTGACGACTTTGTCAATAGTTGTGTAATAAACTGTGATACGAAAGTGGTCTTTTGCCGTCTGTTGTGAGCTGTCGTTCGCTGCAGCAGGTGTCTCGCCAGTAAGGCCCTGAAGTCGGCGTGATGGTCTGGTTCGAGGCACCTCGGCATCTTTGAAGGTAAACTTCGTACCCACGATTCCTATTCTGATTTTTTTCGCTATAACATCAACATGTGACCACATCTGAGTGAAGCTCTCTTCATTGCGACAATTGCTCAGTGTCTTAACGACAACATCATCAGTCTTCTTGGCAGTGATGACATTCATCTGTTCTCCCTGTAGATATCTACTCAGATTATTGTGTTGGATAAGATGAGCTTCAAAACCATCAAGCCATAAACAAACTGAAAGTCACAAATTGAGTGGAAAAGCGAATTACTTTCGTTGTAGGTCTTGGGATCGCGGTCCTTTGATAAAGTGACCAGGGCTTCCATTATCTTCGGCACTTGCTCTAGCACGGCCCTCACCGCCGCCCAGCGACAGGACCATCTTGTGGTACTCAAAGATTTTAATGTTAGCGCAACATACTATTCATGAACTTTAATGTCCTTGAATAACGCATGGCGCTTGGTACTCCTGTGTAAGAAATTGTAAAGACTCTGGATAGTACCGAGGGCATTACGGAGAGTTTCAATTTCAGTCATGGTGTCCTGAAAAGCCAAATTTAAAAGATGACCATAACAATGTACGTATATTCCGAGGGGTGAACATTCCTTCGTACGCGTAGCACGGCTCTTGCGAATCCCACTCATGTTCGCAGCGCCATCAAAGCATTCGGCAATAATGTTTTACAACCTTAAATCCAGCTTATTTATGGCTGTTTTTGCGAGCTCGTACAGAACTTCCCCCTCCGTAGAAGCAGTGGCAAATAAACCAACGAAATTTTCTTTTGTCTCACCATTGATGACGTACCTGAGGCACAAGGATACCTCTTCGGTTCTACAGATGTCTGAAGTTTCATCCATGTTGATTCCAAAGTAACCACTCTTCCTTACTTCTGTGGTGATTCTCTCAAGCACAAGGTCTGACACTATTGCAAGTAGCTCATTTTGGATGGTGGGTGTTGTCCACTGAGCATGCAACTGGAGCTGCGCCTGGAGTTTTGACTGTAGCCATGGCAAGTCTTTGCATCGTAAATGGAGTAATTCGAGAAATTTTCCGCTGTTTATATCTGACACTTCCCAGATATCGTTTCGACTTTCTTCATGGCCTCTAACAACAATATTGCATAGCAGTGAAAATCAAGCACTCTATTATCACTTGTAAATATTTCCTGTTAAATTTGACCTGCTCTTTATGTGCATTGCTTAGTTGCTGCAGAACACTGCTATTCTCTCTTTCCATTGCTTTGAACTGCAGTTACTTAGTCATGCAACTTACATGATTCTCACTTTGGCTGTGTTTTTTTAACTTTGATGGCTTCTTCCAATTCTTGAAAACAAAAGATGCATCCTTTTCAAACTCTATGCAGGAAAAAAACATACACACACGTCTTTTTTGACATCGTAACTAAGCCATGGATACTTTTCATACCAGTCAGGCTGGAATCGTCTAGTGAAAAACTCACTGCTGAACTTGGTGCCCGGATATTTGAATATAACAGGTTGTTTCCGCACCATTGTCGTCAAAGTAGGTGATGTGGAGGACTTTGGCTCTAGTTCAGCAATCCCTCCGAGATCTGATTGAATTCTTCTATCTATCGGGGTACTGGGCTCGCTAGGTTCCTGGACGTCTCTCATTGACGCATCAGGCTTAAGTGAATCTTGGTCGATTGATTCAGGATCTGGCTGGATATTTGTAACAGATTCGTATGTTGATGAAATAGTACGTTGTTCACTCTCTGGACTACATCCAACAAGCGGTGCCTCCTGTGTCTGACCTGGAGATTCGACTGCTGCACTGCTTTTAGAGAAGAAACCACTTAATTTCAGCTGTGACGACTCTACCACTGGCAGACATTTCACTTTTCGGCCGCTGTGAACAATTCGGGAATGAGCTTCTACATAGTCGAAGTCGAATTCTTTCTCGCATTCTTCACATTTCACACGGTATCTATATGATATTTTACGAGACTTCAACAAAGACATACTTCAATCCACCAGATTACACGCACATGTACTCGAGAACTAACATAAATCAACATGGCCGTCAACTCATACTCAGTTCCAGTCCCAGTGCGGTCTTGATTATCACTCCCAGTCCCTCGGCAGAACTCAATCTTCTAACTCCGAGTAACAACAGCCATCCCGTGAAGTAGTACAGAGATCAGTTAGAAGATTAGGCGAGTTGCGGGATGAAAACAAATAAATCAAGATATTAAATAATAAAATGTTTTTTTCTGTGTCTTTGCCCGAACAGTACATCAGTTTTGCCCGAATAATACTCATTTTTTTTCCGACGGGGGGGCTGCAGCTGACAGATGTCTAACATTGAACCAAATCAAGAGATAAGACCACAGCACGGTAGGAACTCGAAGAAAATCATGGTTATCCGAAAAGAAATTAAAAAAAGAGAAAGATTGTCGTTAAAAACGAACGACATTAGAACATCGATGGCTAAAAGTGCCCAGGAAATAAAAATCATCTGAGAAACACGTTTGCACGTCATTAACAAGAAGTATTTGAGAGGCTTCACAATAGCGATGTAACGATCCAGGACTAAACTAGATAAGTTTGTTACAGACGCATATGTAAACAACCACCTTAGATAATCCACCCTGTCGGCAAAAGGGGCTGTAGGATTGCATCCAGTTGTCAGTCTCGCAAACTGAAGTGGGCGAACAGCACTCAGCCCAACACAGAAATCTACCATAGCAAGTGAAACGACAAATGCGTTGGTTTTAGTTCGAAGCCGCTAACGTCTGCAAACAAGGAAGATAGTAAATCCATTTCCAGCTATGGTTACAATGAAAAGAGACCAGCCAAGAATCCAAAACCAGGTTTCAATTAAGGAGTTTTTGAGCGACTTTACTCAAGTGAATATACAGAAGATAACTTTCAATAACGAACTAATGGACCACCCGGCGTGGTGGTTCCTTGACTACGGAACATTTTTACTAACACTTGTTATTAGCCTGTTAATAAAAGTGCTTATTAGTTTGCCGAGAAACTGAAATTTGTGTCAAACCATGTTATACTCAGCGATAACACTAAATTATATCTTAGTCCGGCGCGTTGGTGTTTAAACCAACTGTTATTTACGTATGTAACTTTTTAATACAAAACCCCTCTGCCCCTTTATCTGCTTCACCCATAATGTTAGGAAAACTAGCAGATTTTAGAGCTCCCTGTTCTCACTGTGGCTGATTTCATCGGAAAACGTGGACACGAACTCAAACACTGGCTTGTTCCGGGCAGAATTATTCCTTACTGAAAACCACCTGAATGCAGCTTTAACGCAGTCAAACAAGTACCAGAACTTCTGATTCAAAATGTGGCTCGAAATAAAAGTCATTCACATAGTCGAGAAGAGAAACACTTTCTTTTCAGTACTCAGCTACTAAAGTTACATATTTTTAATGTTTTCTTTTCTTTAGCATATTGACTAAATATGTTTGGAAAAACAGTTAAATTTTAACCGTCCATTACGTCTAGAAAACTTTTAAAACAACATCTTGAAATATTGTTAAATCTTGTCAAGAGATTTTTTTGAAGGAACTGGTCAAACGTACGCAACATCTTACAACATCAGAATATGTTGCAACAAAAATGTGACCATTTTCAAACTTGATTCAAACGTGTGCAACACGACTCAATTAAATATATTCATACTTTCCTTCATAGTTTGGTACGAATAACATCTCTTTTCTTTAGAGGAGGAGGAAGTATCAGAAAACCTGAAGGGAGCACAAATTTGTCTGTAGTTAAACTAAAGGCGTTGAAGCTGCGTCATATTTATGATCTACTCAACGAGTTTCTTTAAACGATTTGGCAATAACACTAAATAAACCAGAATACCCTGGTCGAGTTGGTGTGAAAATTACCTGCCATTTACATTGGTTAAAGTTTCATGTAACATCAAACCTCCCCCCCTCCCCTCCCCCTTTCTTATATTTTCTCTGACTTACCCATAACGAAAGGGCAATTGGCAGGTATGAGGCGGAATGCTTTTATTTTCTCACATATTAAATATTATTGTTTAAAATTTGACAATTGGAAAACGTGCTGCTTTCGAAATAAATGCGATTAAAATTTCGTTTCGAAGGACTAATCTTGCGCAAAATAATAAAGATACACTATCCTGGCCTAATGGTGTTCTCGGTTTATGCTGTGTTTCCTTTGGATGACATGTTCATTCAGCAGTGAAATATGAAGCACTTTTTACCCTGGTACTCGGGAGAGAGTTCTTCAGTAGCTAACCACTTATATTTTCCGAGCAATCAATATACAAATGTGTTTTCTTTAGCGTTTTTATTCTAAACATTTTTAATGACATTTCTATTTTTTGGGATGCGTCCCAACCACAAGCGAGTGAATAAACACGTATTCTATTTTTTTTCACGCCACGTTTTAAAGATCGAAAGTTGTGACTTTCAAATGCCCACACCACGTCGTAAATGTTTTGGTTCCCTATGACGCATTTTCCTTCTTTTCACTTCCCAGCCGAATGACGTCAATTCCTTTAAGTAAGGGAAAGCCTAGAACATTAACTCCAACCTCTATTTTCGTCTTGCTTTTCCATCTCACGCTAATGCGCAGCATGGGCGCCAAGATTGTCTTAACACCGACTGCAGGTGTCGTTGCTACGGATGAATTTTATATTCTGATTGGCAAGACGAGTACGGCGATTATTACCATGATCGCGCTCTTTCATACTTCAAACTCTTCACAGCATACACTTGTGCGGTTAAGAATTTTAAAGGGTACCTTCAGACTCACACGAACCTAAAAATAACTGGTAAACAACTCGAATGAGGTAAAAAGATCACTAAGGTGTCAAGCGATAAATTGGAGAATAAAGGCAGCCTCGTTCAAGAGACAAAAACCTCAAGGTGATCTTGGAATACAATTTCGTTTTGTTCCATAATTATCAACGCCTTTTGTCAAACCATTAATGAAAGCTTAAAAACCAATTTTGCGGATTTCTTGAATTAGCTGAAAAAGCTGAATTACTTTGTCTAGATAACGCAGAAAATACATTTTGTCATCTCCTTTTTTATATCCTGCTTGTAGAAGGCGTACGCAATGGGGTTAATAGCAGAGTTTAAAACAAGGAGGGGTATTTTATATTCTTCATCATCACATGTTTTTCCTGTTTTGAATATTAATATATAACCACATCGTAAAGCAAATGTGTTCGCTAGAAGGAAAACTCCTATAACAATTGCCAGCATTTTAACTGCAGACTTCTCCTGGATTTTGAACAGAAATCAATGATTAAAGTGGAGCTGCTTTGCTAAGACACGAGCTGCTCGTTCGTGCTTGTTAACAACAACTAGCATTGAAGCGAAGCAAAAGACCAGACCACAGCATGGCAGAAAAGCCAAAAAAATTAGGTTTTTCCGAAGTAAATATTTCAAATAGTAGACGCTGGCTTGGACAAAGCCAATTCATTCTGAAAAAAGCCAAAGTAGTTATAAGTGGAATCGCCCAAGAGATGGAAATCACCAGGAAAACGCGGCGACGTTTCATAAAAGTCAAATACTTGAAAGGCATTACGACACCAACATAACGCTTCAGAACTAAAGTGTATAGGTTTACCACTGAGACGAGCGAAGAGCATAATTAGTAGCTGGTTTCAAGGACAAAAGATATTTTTAATATAGGGAGGACTCTGGTTGCGTATAATGGCCACCAACATCTTTTACTCCTGCTATCATGATCAAATACAGGTGGAGAAAGTATTCCTCAAGATCTATTTGGAAGAGAACTGTATTGGAAAATTAAACTCGTGTTTGCGCTAAATTTGGCGTCCTAATGACATACAACGAGTCCACCTTATGTGCTAGCATATAACAGCAGCTGAAACCTTAATTTTGTTTGAAAGTAAATATCTACTCACAACTTATTAACGAAAATTATTCAATATGATGGTGTCTAAGAAGAGTTCTTAGCTTTCTCCCATTTCAAAAAAACACTTGAATTCGTCTAACGTCAATAACATTTCTACTGCCAAAGCTAATTGTTGATAATTTTACGATTCACTTTTAAGCAAGAGAATATCAACTGTGCTAACCTATCCCTGTGACCCATGATTGTTTCTTTAAGTCCATTTTAAATTTCGCACCTCGCTGGGAAGTTATTCTTATTCACACCTGGCACGATAACGCAGATAACGATCTCGATATCATCTGTCGTTGTAGTTTCCAATGTTCAAGTTTTAAACGAGTGTTTAAAAATTGTAACCGCTCAATATAGAAACAAGTGTCTAAATGTTTGCCTCACCATTCGAGTCTTTTAGCAGCAAGATGGGAATATTTGCGTTACATCAATTCTTATACCCTTAATTAGAAGTGGTTCGCAGAAAAATATATAGTTTAAAATTTTCATGTCAAAACTACATTAGAAAAAGAATATTTTGTGAATAATTACCATCATGTTGACTTTCATTAATATGTCTACGAACCAAACGCAAACTTTAGAACCTCCCTAACGTAAAGCGGGACCTGTTTTGTTTTGGTTTTAGTAACTGCGAGGTTCCGAAGACAAGTTCTCGCAAACAATCAGAAGAATACAATTGTTCCCTTATTTCCTCTTACCTGAGCTAAACTGACAAAACGATCGATTGGACTATCTTAATTTGCAAGTCAATAATGGTAGATATAATTTCAGTATAAACAGAAGCATCTTATATACCTTGTCACCCGAAAAATTACTCTTTTAAAACTACTTCTATTGAATTTTGGCTGACGTAATTGATTTGTGCAACAATGAGTTCATGTCCAACAATACAATCAATCACAATGAGATGAAAATGTTCGGAAAAAAACCTTAAATATGCATGATTCATGCACGGAAAATCTTGCCAGATATGTTCATCCTTTGAAAAGTGAAAACGGTACGATGACGTAAAAACGATTTACTTATAATCCAACTTAATTCAAATGTAAAAGGCTAATTTAGAAAAATACATATATTTATAACTCTCTCAAAAGCCCATCGGCGGTTTGCCAAGGCAAGTTTTTGGCTATCAGTGAACACCTGGCTTCGTGAGATCTTTCTGAATTTGCATAGTAGGGTAATGTTATCAACATATTCCTAAGACAAAACGACAAGTTAGCGGCAAATGATCCAAGGAACGAATCAGCAAGGTGCCTTCAACCTCATATCTGTTGTCTGACTTGATCAGAAGGGCAGTTCACAGCACAGGACAAACTTTTTTAAGCCAACCATTTATTTCGATTGCTTTTCCTTCTTTGAGTCCAAGAAAAAAGACAGATCATCGTAAGTTAGCTAAAATAATGGTACTCCGGTTTGCGAACGACAAAAGCCATACGACATTCTTATTGTGTTCCAGCCGCTTTCCTTTGTATACCGCCTAAATCGGCTTAAACATTAATTGAATCAAATAAACACATTCTGCACACTCCAAATTAACTGTTTACACATCAGGTAGCACATCTGTTTGACTAAGTATCTCCCCGTTTTCACTTTAAGAAATCAAAGCTACAGGAAACTTCTCCTTCAATGAAAACTTACTTTTTCATGTGCGTATTATGGTACTTACTGACCATGAAATAACTGATTCCTCTTTTAATCTTAGAAAAACACAGTCGAAGTTAGATTTGTCGTTAACAAAGCCACAACGGAGAAGCGATAATTTCGGGCACCATATTTGTCTAGAAACCCTATAAAACGATATCATATATCTTTTTATACCCAGCATTGACGGAGCACCACAGTTTCTTTAAAATCTTCACTCCTTTTATTCAGTTGTAGACTGAAAACTGGCTAAATAATTAAATAACTGACTACCCTGACCGACTGAATGATTGACTGACGGTATGAATTAGATCTGAGTGACTGAGTGACTAACTTACTGACTGACTAACGGACGGACGGACGGACGGACGGACGGATGGGGGGATGGGGGACGAAAGGATGGATAGACGAACGGATGGACGGACGGACTGACGGATGAACGCATAGACGGACGGACGGACTGACTAAATGATAGACTAGGTGACTGACATACAGACTAATTCACGGACTGGGAGATTGACGGACTGGCATGGGTGACTGACGGACTGACTGAAATCTGACTGATTGACAGACTAACTGACCGACTACGTGACTGACTGATTAACTTACTGACTGACCGACCGACCGACCGACCGACCGACTAAGTGAAGGACTGACGGACTGAATGGAAACTGACTGATTGACAGACTTATTGACTGACTAAGTGACTGACTGATTAACTGATTAAATAACTGACTGACTGACTGATTGACGGACTGAATGTCTCATTGACTATCTTATTGACAGATTGAGATACGAACTGACTGACCGAGAGACTGGTTTGCAAAATTATAAAATGTAACAGACAGATTGGCAAAAGTTGAAAAAAACTAACCGTAACAATTAAAAATATACAAAAAGAAATACGAATTGGTAAGGATTGATGAGATGAAAAGAATTCTTTTTAGACATTAATATGAAAGGTATGATCTACTCTCCTCATCATGCACACACCGTCTGCAAATCCCCAATCTTACTTATGGACTTTTAACTCGTGGAACATAGCTGAAGACAGTCGAGAAGACGTTTATCCAAGTTTTGAATTTTTGGATTGACATGTTAAGCATTGCAGCTGCGTAGGATGAAAGAGTTGTTTTCATCAATTGGCTCAGTGCGGTTTCTTTTTTTACACATGACACAGCAGATATATCGTGTCATCTCCATGTTTATGTCTCTCTTGAAGACAGCATAAGCGAAGGGGTTGACGACGGAGTTTAATACAAGAAGGGGTATTTTATATTCTTGATCATCACACGGTTTTTTGTCGTCATTCAAAATGTAAATAAAGCTACATCGCAAAGCGAACGAGTAGGTTACAAGAAACAAGCCAATAACACTGGCCATTATTTTCACAGCAGACTTCTCTTGGATTTTAAAACAAAATCTTTGGTTAAAGCGGAGTTGTTTTGCCAAGATGCGGGCGGCTCTTTCGTGTTTATAAACAACATAATACATTGATGCAAAGCAAAAAATTAGACTGCAACACGGTAAGAACTCTAAAAATGACATAAGAATCAATATCAGCACTTTAAACAGCAGAGTCTCTCTAAAAACAAGCCCGTTCAGTAAAAAAACCAAGACCAAAACAACTGGAATGGTCCAAGAGATAACAAACATCTGGAGAACGCGTTTGCGCGTCATAAAAGTCCAGTACCTTAACGGCTTCACAACGGCAACGTAGCGCTCTAGGACTAAACTGCACAAGTTTGTAACCGAAGCGTACCCAAAGAACCATCTTAGATAATCCACCCCGCTTGCTAAGAAGGCCTTTGGGTCACATCCAACTATCTCTTCGCAGACGTAAAGCGGGGGAAAAGTACTAAGCCCAACACAGAAGTCCGCCGCTGCAAGAGAAACTACGAATGCGTTGGTTCTGGTGCGGAGCCGCCGTCTTCTTCTTACGAGGCAGATGATAAATCCATTTCCAGTTATGGTCAGAATGGACAGAGACCAGCCAAGAATCGAAAACCAAGTTTCCATTTTGTGGTCGTTAAGTGGAAAGCTGTGAGGATATATTTTCGCTGAGGACTTGAACTAATGTAAGACCAACTACAACAACTAAAACATCTGGTGATTTCCTCTTGTTCGGAGGTCCCTCAAAAATACGCCACAATTGATTAATCAGGCTGAATCCTTGCCTCTCTTAGTGTTAGGTCCACCCATGATCCTTCATTCCAGATTTGGTAAGTCAATGAATTAAAGGAAGGAAACTTATCATGGGAGAGGCACGTCGGAGGGGAAACACTCGTGTGTGCATCTGTGCTTATTGACGAAAACCGCACAAATAATTATGTCCGCAGTGACGTCAACCTTTCTTATTGACAGTAAGAAATTTCTATCTAAAGATAGCTAAATAAGAGTCTTGACAACCTATCTCTGACAGCTTTATTAAAATGTAATAATATGAAGGCCGATGGCGAGATCACTGGCAGAGAAGCAATAATGATGAAATGGTAATAACAAATTTTATAATGGAATTGTGAGACCGAAGGAGTTACGCACGCTATGTAATTGTTTTTCTTCTCTTGCTTTTTTTGGTTGTGTTGTTGTTGTTGTTGTTTTTTTTTTCTCAAGACCTTAATGTTTGATTCGACAATAATAACGTTAAGAAACATTTGGCGCTAGCCCAGTATGAAAGGTTTAGGATTAACGCAGTAATTCAAAAGTTGTTTGTTTGCCATGCTGGATAAAATTATTTCTTACAGTAAACCAGCTGATCTCAAATGACATCAAACTAGAACTCACTTCTACTCACTTGCAATTTATTCCGGAAAAATACCAGATAAATTTTCTTCATTTGTATCGTACACATACTCTGCTGAGTGAATCTCTAAAACTCTATTTTTTTTCAATTTTTTCTTTAAGCCACCTTGCACTTCTAAAAACATGCGCAAATTTAAATCGAGGCAATCTTTTTCCGCCCGTTGAATTTTATCGGAGTCATTTAGCATGAAGAGATAACTAGCTCATTCCTTTAACAACTATGTTGTTGCTCAGTCTTGTTTCTTGAAAAATGTAAAAACAGCTAATTAAAGTTCGCTTTTTCACCAAAGTAACATTACTCATTTTTCAAAACAGCCTAACTCTAAAATCTTTCTTAACCTAACTCTACTTTTCCAAAACTAATGAACAACCGCTAAGCGGTTAACTTAGATTTAAAGGGAAAAGGAACAGTTCAAGATGGAATAATAACCATGGCGTTAAACGACAAATTGGAGAATAAAGGTAGCCTCATTTTAGAGACAAACACTAGCGAGGTGATTATGAAATATAGTATTACGAAAAAAAATTCCCACATGCTTAAATAACTCAACAACGCACTCGGCGCGTTTTTTAATTCTTTAGTACAACAGTGGGTGCATGTCTAACAATGTAATCGAGCGTAATAGATGAAAATGTTCAGCATAAAATTTCATTTCTTAAGTAGACAAGACTCGTTCAAGGAAAATCTGTGACTTTATTCTTTAACGGCTCGAAACTTAAACAGGATTAACATATCATTCGTTTGAAAACCAAATTAACTTTTCAATTATCAGTGAACGCCTGGTTCTATGAGACCCGCCTGAATTAGAAGTCGCGTTGGGTATCGTTGACAAGATTATCTTAAAATCAAACGACAAGAAAGCGGGAAATGGTCCATTTAAGTAGTCATAGCCTAAGGAAACTTTCCCTTTGAAGAAAACTCACTTTTTCATCGCATATTGCAATGCTTGCTAAATTATTTTATCTACGTCGCGAAATAGCCGTTCTTCTTTCACTACTCTGACCGACAGACTGATTGTATGACTGACTGACTGACTGACTGATTGGCTGAATTCACCGACCAATTGACTGACTGAATGACCGATTGACTGAGGGGCTGAATGCACAGACTAAGGACTGACTTAATTGCTGGCTTAATACTCTGACCGACTAAATGATCTTATGACCGACTGAATAATTGGATGATTGACTGAATGATCGGATGACCGGCTGGATGATCGCCGGATGATCGACTGAATGATTGGATAACCGATTTAATGATCGGATGACCAACTGAATGATTGGATGACCGACTGAATGATAGAATGGCCGGCTGAATGATCGTATGACCGACTGAATACCCTGATCGATTGAATGATCGGATGACCGACTAAATGATCGGATGATTGACTAAATGATCGAATGACCGACCGAATGATCGCCGGATGACCGACTGAATGATCGCCGGATGACCGACTGAATGATCGCCGAATGACCGACTGAACTATGGCGTAACATACCGTTCAAAATTCAACGGTATGTTACGCCATACTGAATGATTGCATGACGGACTCAATGATCGGATGACCAACTAAATAATTGAATGACGGACTCAATGATAGAATGGCCGGCTGAATGATCGGATGAATGACTGAATAGCCTGATCGACTGAATGATCGGATGACCGGCTGAAAAATCGGCTGACCGACTGAATGATCAGATGACCGACTGAATGATCGGATGACCGACTGAATGATCAGATGACCAACTGGATGATTGGATGAACGACTGAATGCCCTGATTGAATGAATGATCGAATGACCGACTGAATGATCGGATGACCGATTGAATGATCAGATGACCGACTGAATACCCTGATTGACTGACAGACCGACTGACTGACTAGCTGACTGAATATGCTGACCAACTAGCTAAATGACTTAACACTGACTAACTGATCAACTGATTGACTGACTTACTAGTTGACTGAATACGCTGACCAATTAAATGACTTAACACTGACTAATACTGATCAACTGATTGCCCCGACAATTGACTTAAACCTGACTGTCTTATTGACTGAAAGACGTACTGAAAGCTGACTGACTGACTGTCTGAAGGACTGAGAGACTGAACGCTGACTGACTGACAGACTTGGTAGACTGATGGACAAGGTAACTTACGAAATGACTGAAAACTGACTGGCTGACTGACAGACTGATTTGCAAACCTATAAAATGAAACAGACTGGCAAAATTAGACAAAAGTAACCTTAAGTGGTTCCATGTTGTTTCTCTTCTTTCAGATCACACAGCAAATACATCGTTTTGCTTCCTCTTTTATGTTCCTCTTAAACAGAGCGCAAGCAACTGGTTGATGGCAGAGTTTAAAACTAACAGAGGCAATTTGAATTTTTTATCATTACATGGTTGTTCGTCTTTCATTATGTATATAAGACTACATCGGAGATAGCATGCAGAATAAACAAGGAACAGGCCAATAACAATGGCCAAGAAAAGAGAACAATTGTCATTAAAAACGAACGACATTAGAACATCGAAAAAAGGGTTAAAAGTGCCCAGGAAATAAAAATCATCGGAGAAACACGTTTGCGCGTCATGAACAAGAAGTATTTGAGAAGCTTCACAACAGCGATGTAACGAGCCAGAACTAAACTACATAAGTTTGTTATAGACGCATATGTGAACAGCCACCTTACATAATCCCCCCTGTCAGCAAAAGGGGCTTCATGATCGCATCCAGTTGTCTTCTCACAATTTAAAAGTGGGGAACAGCACTCAGCCCAACACAGAAATCTGCTGGCAGGTATGAGGCGGTACCGGAGGCAAACTTGACCTTTTCGGAATGCTTTTATTTTTTCACGTATTAAATATTATTGTTTAAGTCGCCTATTTGCAAAATTTGACAATTGGAAAACATGCTGCTTTCGAAATAAATGCGATTAAAATTTCGTTTCGAAGGACTAATCTTGCGCAAAATAATTAAGATAAACTATCCTGGCCTAATGTTGTTCTCGCTTTATGCTGTGTTTCCTTTGGATGACATTTTCATTCAGCAGTGAAATATGAAGTGCTTTTTACCATGGTACTTGGGAGAGAGTTCTTCAGTAGCTAACAACTTATATTTTCCGAGCAATCAATACATAAAATATGTTTTCTTTAGCGTTTTTATTCTAAACATTTTTAATGACATTTCATTTTTTTGGGATGCGACCCTACCATAAGCGAGTGAATAACCACGTATTCTTTTTTTTTTTTTTGTTCCCACGCCACGTTTAAAAGATTGAAAGTTGGGACTTTCAAATGCTCACACCACGTCGTAAATGTTTTGGTTCCCTATGACGCATTTTCCTTCTTTTCATTTCCCCAGCCAAGTGACGTCAATTCCTTTAAGTAAGGGAAAGCCTAAGACATTAACTGCAACCTCTATTTCCGTCTTGCTTTTCCATCTCTCGCTAATGCACAGCATGGGCGCTACGACTTTCTTAACACTGCAGGCGTGGTTGTTACGGATGAATTTCATATCCTGATTGGCTTCGTGGGTAAATTAGCAAGACGGATATGACGATTGTTACCATCTATATCGCGTTCTTTCATACTTCAAACTCTTCACAGCATACGCTTGTGTGGTAAAGAATTTTTAAGGGTAGCTCCAGATACAGAAGAACCTAAAAATAACTGGTAAACAAACTCGAATGAGGTAAAAGATCACTAAGGTGTCAAGCAATAAATTGGAGAATAAAGGCAGCCTCATTCAAGAGACAAAAACCTCAAGGTGATCTTGGAATACAATTTGTTTTGTTCCATAATTATCAACGCCTATTGACAAACCATTAATGAAAGCTTAAAAACCGATTTTGCGAGTTTCTTGAATTAGCTGAAAAAGTTGAATTACTTTGTCTAGATGACGCAGAAAATACATTTTGTCATCTCCTTCTTTATATCCCGCTTGTAGAATTCGTATGCAAATAAAAGATCACTAAGGTGTCAAGCAATAAATTGGAGAATTTGCGAATTTCTTGGATTAGCTGAAAAGGCTGAATTACTTTGTCTAGATGACGCAGAAAATACATTTTGTCATCTCCTTCTTTATATCCCGCTTGAAGAGGGCCTACTCAGTGGGGTTAATAGCAAAGTTTAAAACAAGGAGGGGTATTTTATATTCTTCATCATCACATGTTTTTCCTGTTTTGAATATTAATACATAACCACATCGTAAAGCAAACGTGTTCGCTAGAAGGAAAATTCCTATAACAATTGCCATCATTTTAACTGCAGATTTCTCCTGGATTTTGAACAGAAATCAATGATTAAAGTGGAGCTGCTTTGCTAAGACACGAGCTGCTCGTTCGTGCTTGTTAACAACAACTAGCATTGAAGCGAAGCAAAAGACCAGACCACAGCATGGCAGAAAAGCCAAAAAATTATGTTCATCGAAATAAATATTTTAAATGGTAAACACTGACTTGGACGAAGCCAATTCATTCTGAAAAAAGTCAAAGTAGTAATAACTGGAATCGCCCAAGAGATTAAAATCACCAGGAAAACGTGGCGACGCTTAATTTCATGAAAGTCAAATATTTGAAAGGCATTACGACGGCAACATAACGCTCCAGGACTAAAGTGCATAGGTTTACCACCGAGGCAAATGGGAATAAGTTCCTTAAATCATAAAATAACCTGTTTCAATCACCTTCCTGGCAGAAGAACAATGAAGGGACAGTGCTCAATCCAAAAAAGAAATCCGCCGCTGCACGAGAAACGATAAACGCGTTGGTTTTGGTGCGGAGCCGCCGTCTGCTGCAAACAATGAAGATAATAGATCCATTTATGGTCAGGATAGAGAGAGACCAGTCAAGAATCAAAAACCAAGTTTCCATTTTGTTATCTGCTTTAGGGTTATTTTTTAAAGTTATTACACAGATATATTGTCAATCGTACGAGAAACAACTGAAGAAAGATCGTTGTCCAGTGAGGCAGCTGTTGATTTTATATCTATGAATTTTCCTCCATATAAGTGTATATCGGAGAGCCATCATGACGCCATGTCAGGCTCCTTAATAACGGTGGAGACACTGTTCCTGTTCAAAAAATATAATTTCGTTGAAACACAACTTCCTTCTTTTGGAAAAAGTGTATGGCGTTTATTATCAATACTACATGGTCTCGGTCTCAACACAAGTTAGAATGAACAATTTTGATGACTTACGTCTGCAATGATTTCATCATAACGGCTCTGTCTTGAAATATCATTATGAATCCAAAACCAAGTTTATATTTTATAATATAAGTAGTTTTACTCATATAACTTTCCAGAGACTTGTCATGGATAAAAAATCATGAGTTATTCCTCGTATAATGGACTCCAACGTCTTTTACTCCTGCTATCATGATCAAATACAGGTGGAGAAAGTGTTCCTCAAGATATATTTGGAAGAGAACTGTTAGTAGAGAATTAAACTCATGTTTGCGCTAGATTTGGCATCCTAATGACATACAACGAGTCAACCTTATGTGCTAGCATATAACAGCAGCCGGCTAAAACCTTAATTTTGTTTGAAAGATACTATCTACTCACAACTTATTCATAAAAATTCTTCAATATGATGGTGTCTAAGTAAAGTTCTTAGCTTTCTCCCATTCAAAAAAACACTTAAATTCGTCTAACGTCTGTTAAATTCCCACTGCCAAAGCTAATCGTTGGTAATTTCATGATTCACTTTTAAACAAGAGAATATCAACTGTGATAACCTATCCCTGTCACCGATGGTTATTTTTTTAAGTCCATTTTAAATTCCGCACCACGCTGGGAAATTATTCTCGCATCTCGATATGATCTGTCGTTGTTTCCGATGTTCAAGTTTTAAACGAGTTTTTAAAAATTGCAACCGTTCGTTATCGAAACAAATGTCTAGATGTTTGCCTCACCATTCGAATACTTACCTTTAGGGATTTATAGGCACCCAGATATGTCAATCATATTCTCTTGTTCTTGAATGCTTATAAGTCTTTTTTAGCAGCAGGATGGGAATATTTGCATGACATCAATCTTCATACCCTTAATTAGAATTGGATTCGCAGAAAAATATATAGTTTAAAAGTTACATATCAAAACTGCACCAGAAAAAGACTATTCCTGTGAATAATCACCATCATGTTGACTTTCATTAATATGTCTTCAAACCAAATGCAAACCTTTGAACCTCCCTAAGGTAAAGCGGGACCTGTTTTGTTTTGGTTTTAGTAACTGCGAGGTCCCGAAGACAAGTTCTCGCAAACACTCAGGGGAATATAATTGTTCCCTTATTTTCTCTTTCCTGAGCTGAACTGACAAAACGATCGATTGGACTATCTTAATATACACGTCAATAATGGCAGATATAATTTCAGTATAACCAGAAGCATTATACTTTTAAAAGTACTTCTATTGAAGTTTTGCTGACGTAATTGATTTGTGCAACAATGAGTTCATGTCTAACAACACAATCAATCACAGTGAGATTAAAATGTTCGGCAAAAAATCGTAAATATGTATGATTCATGCACGGAAAATCTTGCCAGATATGTTCATCCTTTGAAAAATGAAAACGGCACGATAACGTATAACGATTTACTTATAATCCGAACTTAATTCAAATGTAAAATCTTTACTAATTTAGAAAAATACATATATTTATTACTCTCTGAAAAGTCCATCAGCGGTTTTCCAAAGCAATTTTTTGGCTATCAGTGAATACCTGGCTTCGTGAGATCTTTCTGAATTTGCATAGTAGGGTAATGTTATCAACATATTCCTAAGACAAAACGACAACTAAGCGGCAAATGATCCAACGAACGAATCAGGAAGATGTCTTCAACCGCATATCTGTTGTCTGGCTTGATCAGAAATGCAGTTCACAGCACAGGAAAAAATTTTTTAAGCCAACCGTTTATTTCGATTGCTTTTCCTTCTTTGAGTCCAAGAAAAAAGACAGATCATCGTAAGTTAATTAAAATAATCGTTATCACGTTTGCGAACGACAGAAGCCATACGGCATTCGTACTGTGTTTCACCCGCTTTCTTTTGTATACACCACCTGAATCGGCTTAAACATTAATTGAGTCAAATAAACACATTCTACACACTCCAAACTAACTGTTCACGCATCAGGTAGCATATCTGTTTGACTATGTATCTCCACGTTTTCACCTTAAGTAATCAAATCTACAGGAAACTTCCCCTTCGATGAAAACTCAGTTTTTCATGTGCGTATTACAGTGCTTACTGGCCACGAAATAACTGATTCCTCTTTTAATCTTAGAAAAACACAATCAAAGTTAGATTTGTCGTTAACAAAGCCACAGCGGAGAAGCGATAATTTCGGGCACAATATTTGTCAAGAAACCTGATAAAACGATATCATGTATCTTTTTATACCCAGCGTTGACGAAGCACCACAGTTTCTTTAAAATCTTCACTCACTTTATTCAGTTGTAGACTGAAAACTGGCCAAACAATTCAATAACTAAATACCCTGACCAACTGAATGATTGACTGACGGTATGAATTGGATCTGAGTGACTGAGTGACTGACTTACTGACTGACTAATGGACGGACGGACGGTCGGACGGACGGGGGGACTGGGGACGGAAGGACGGATGGTCGAACGGACGGACGAACGGATGGACGGACGGACTGATGGATGGACGCATAGACGGACGGACGAACGGACTGACTGAATGACAGACCAGGTGACTGACATACAGACTAACTCACGGACTGGGAGATTGACGGACTGGCATATGTGACCGACGAACTGACTGAAAACTGACTGATTGACAGACTAACTGACCGACTAAGTGACTGCCTGATCAACTAACCGACTGACTGACTGACTGACCGACCGACCGACCGACCGACCGACCAAGTGAAGGACTGACGGACAGGGTGACCGACGGACTGAATGGAAACTGATTGACTGACAGACTTATTGACTGACTAAGTGACTGACTGATTAACTGATTAACTAAGTTACTAACTGACTGACTGACTGAATGTCTCACTGACTATCTTATTGACAGATTGAGATACGAACTGACTGACCGAGAGACTGGTTTGCAAAATTATAAAATGAAACAGACCGATTGGCAAAAGTAGAAAAAAACTAAAACGATTTAAAATATACAAAAAGAAATACGAATTGGTAAGGATTGATGAGATAAAAAGAATCCTTTTTAGACATTACTATGAAAGGTTATTCTACTACCCTCATCATGCAAAAACCGTCAGCAAATCCCTAATATTACTTATGGACTTTTAACTCGTGGAACGTAGCTGAATACAGTCGAGAAGACGTTCGTCCAAGTTTTGCATTTTTGGATGGACATGTTAAGCATTACAGCTGTGTAGGATGAAAGAGTTGTTTTCATCAATTGGCTCGGTGCGGTTTCTTTTTGTACACATGACACAGCAAATATATCGTGTCATCTCCATGTTTATGTCTCTCTTGAAGACAGCATAAGCGAAGGGGTTGACGACGGAGTTTAATACAAGAAGGGGTATTTTATATTCTTGATCATCACACGGTTTTTCGTCGTCATTCAAAATATAAATAAAGCTACATCGCAAAGCGAACGAGTAAGTTACAAGAAACAAGCCAATAACAATAGCCATTATTTTCACAGCAGACTTCTCTTGGATTTTAAAACAAAATCTTTGGTTAAAGCGGAGTTGTTTTGCCAAGATGCGGGCGGCTCTTTCGTGTTTATAAACAACATAATACATTGATGCAAAGCAAAAAATTAGACTGCAACACGGTAAGAACTCTAAAAATGACATAAGAATCAATATCAGCACTTTAAACAGCAGAGTCTCTCTAAAAACAAGCCCGTTCAGTAAAAAAACCAAGACCAAAACAACTGGAATGGTCCAAGAGATAACAAACATCTGGAGAACGCGTTTGCGCGTCATAAAAGTCCAGTACCTTAATGGCTTCACAACGGCAACGTAGCGCTCTAGGACTAAACTGCACAAGTTTGTAACCGAAGCGTACCCAAAGAGCCATCTTAGATAATCCACCCCGCTTGCTAAGAAGGCCTTTGGGTCACATCCAACTATCTCTTCGCAGACGTAAAGCGAGGGAAAATTACTAAGCCCAACACAGAAGTCCGCCGCTGCAAGAGAAACTATGAATGCGTTGGTTCTGGTGCGAAGCCGCCGTCTTCTTCCAACGAGGCAGATGATAAATCCATTTCCAGTTATGGTCAGAATGGACAGAGACCAGCCAAGAATCGAAAACCAAGTTTCCATTTTGTGGTTGTTAAGTGGAAAGCTGTGAGGATATACTTTCGCTGAGGACTTGAACTAATGCAAGACCAACTACAACAACTAAAACATCTGGTGATTTCCTCTTGTTCGGAGGTCCCTCAAAAATACGCCACAATTGAACAATCAGGCTGAACCCTTGCCGCTCTTAGTGTTAGTGTTAGGTCCACCCTCGATCCTTCATTCCAGATTTGGTAAGTCAATGAATTAAAGGAAGGAAACTTATCATGGGAGAGGCACGTCGGAGGGGAAACACTCGTGTGTGCATCTGTGCTTATTGACGAAAACCGCACAAATAATTATGTCCGCAGTGACGTCAACCTTTCTTATTGACAGTAAGAAATTTCTATCTAAAGATAGCTAAATAAGAGTCTTGACAACCTATCTCTGACAGCTTGATAAAAAGGTAATAATATGAAGGCCGATGGCAAGATCACTGGCAGAGAAACAATAATGATGAAATGGTGATAACAAATTTTATAATGGAATTGTGAGACCGAAGGAGTTACGCACGCTATGTAATTGTTTTTCTCCTCTTGCTTTTTTTGGTTGTGTTGTTGTTGTTGTTTTTTTTTTTCTCAAGACCTTAATGTTTGATTCGACAATAATAACGTTAAGAAACATTTGGCGCTAGCCCAGTATGAAAGGTTTAGGATTAACGTAGTAATTCAAAAGTTGTTTGTTTGCCATGCTGGATAAAATTATTTCTTACAGAAAACCAGCTGATCTCAAATGACATTAAAACTAGAACTCACTTCTACTCACTTGCAATTTATTCCGGAAAAATACTAGATAAATTTTCTTCATTTGTATCATATATATATATTGTATCGAGTGAATCTCTAAAACTCTTTAAATCCACCTTGCACTTTTAAAAGCATGCGCAAATTTAAATTGAGGCAAAGTTTTTCCACCCGTTGAATTTTACCGGAGTCATTTAGCATGAAGAGACAACTAGCTCATTCCTTTAACAACTATGTCGTTGCTCAGTCTTGTTTCTTGAAAAATGTAAAAAACAGCTAATTAGAGTTCGCTTTTTCACCAAAGTAGCATTACTCATTTTTCAAAACAACCTAACTCTACTTTTCTAAAACTAATGAACAACCGCCAAGCGGTTAAACTTAGATTTAAAGGGAAAAAGAACAGTTCAAGATGGAAAAATAACCATGGCGTTAAACGACAAATTGGAGAATAAAGGTAGCCTCATTTTAGAGACAAACACTAGCGAGGTAATTATGAAATACAATATTACGAAAATCGAAAATTTATCATCGTTGTCATCTGCATGTGAGGTAAACAATGAATGCAAAGCTGGAAATATCAGGAGGAAGTTTATTACTTCTCATGTTAAAAACAACCCTTGATGGCTTAATGATCTACACAGGAAAAGAATCCGTTATTTTAAAACTTTAGCAGGTCACAAAATGCGTCATTTAAAAAGTTTTCATGGGCAGTCGATAAATAACCATTATACGCTCGCAAAACAATTATAGAGGGGTGAAAAAACATAGTACATCCTGAGAGAAACATTAATTTTCTCTATTTACAGCAGTTTGGTGTGTCAGTGAATCGAATCTTATACTTGAAATGTTTGGCGGTTGTCTTTAATCCAACGTCCCGTTTTATGTTACAGTGCCAGAAGCACGAGCCGAAGGCTCGTGTTTCTCCGCACTTCTCTCGTGTTCTTAAGAATCCCGCGTGCTTAAATAACTCAACAATGCACTCGGCGCGTTTTTTAATTCTTTAGTACAACAGTGGGTGTATGTCTAACAATATAATCGAGCGTAATAGATGAAAATGTTCAGCATAAAATTTCATTTCTTAAGTAGACAAGACTCGTTCAAGGAAAATCTGTGACTTTATTCTTTAACGGCTCGAAACTTAAACAGGATTAACATATCATTCGTTTGAAAACCAAATTAACTTTTCAATTATCAGTGAACGCCCGGCTCTATGAGACCCGCCTGAATAAGTAGTCGCGTTGGGTACCGTTGACAAGGTTATCCTAAAATCAAACGACCACAAAGCGGGAAATGGTCCATTTAAGTAGTCATAGCCTAAGGAAAATTTCCCTTTGAAGAAAACTCACTTTTTCATCGCATATTGCAATGCTTGCTTAATTATTTTATTTTCGTCGCGAAATAGCCGTTCTTCTTTCACTACTCTGACCGACAGACTGATTGTATGACTGAATGACTGACTGACTGGGTGAATTCTCTGACCGATTGAATGGCTGACTGACTGATTGGCGCAATTCACCGACCAATTGACCGACTGAATGACCGATTGACTGAGGGGCTGAATGCACAGACTAAGGACTGACTGAATGGCTGGCTTAATACTCTGACCGACTGAATGATCTTATGACCGACTGAATGATCGGATGACCGACTGAATGATTGGATGATTGACTGAATGATCGGATGACCGGCTGGATGATCGCCGGATGATCGACTGAATGATTGGATGACGGATTTAATGATCGGATGACCAACTGAATGATTGGATGACCGACTGAATGATACAATGGCCGGCTGAATGATCGGATGACCGACTGAATACCTGATCGATTGAATGATCGGATGACCGACTGAATGATCGGATGATTGACTGAACGATCGAATGACCGACTGAATGATCGGATGATTGACTGAATGATCGGATGACCGACCGAATGATCGCCGGATGACCGACTGAATGATCGCCGAATGACCGACTGGATGATTGGATGACGGACTCAATGATCGGATGACCAACTAAATAATTGAATGACGGACTCAATGATAGAATGGCCGGCTGAATGATCGGATGAACGACTGAATACCCTGATCGACTGAATGATCGGATGACCGGCTAAATGATCGAATGACCGACTGAATGATCGGATGACCGATTGAATGATCAGATGACCGACTGAATACCCTGATTGACTGACAGACCGTCTGACTGACTAGCTGACTGAATATGCTGACCAACTAGCTAAATGACTGAACACTGACTAACTGATCAACTGATTGCCCCGACAATTGACTTCAAACTGACTGTCTTATTGACTGAAAGACGTTCTGAAAGCTGACTGACTGACTGTCTGAAGGACTGAGAGATTGAACGCTGACTGACTGACAGACTTAGTAGACTGATGGACAAGGTAACTTACGAAATGACTGAAACCAGACTGGCTGACTGACAGACTGATTTGCAAACCTATAAAATGAAACAGACTGGCAAAATTAGACAAAAGTAACCTTAAGTGGTTCCATGTTGTTTCTCTTCTTTCAGATCACACAGCAAATGCATCGTTTTGCTTCCTCTTTTATGTCCCTCTTAAACATAGCGCAAGCAACTGGTTGATGGCAGAGTTTAAAACTAACAGAGGCAATTTGAATTTTTTATCATTACATGGTTGTTCGTCTTTCATTATGTATATAAGACTACATCGCAGATAGCATGCAGAATAAACAAGGAACAGGCCAATAACAATAGTCAAGAAAAGAGAACGATTGTCTTTAAAAACGAACGACATTAGAACATCGAAAAAATAAGGGTTAAAAGTGCCCAGGAAATAAAAATCATCTGAGAAACACGTTTGCGCGTCATGAACAAGAAGTATTTGAGAAGCTTCACAACGGCGATGTAACGAGCCAGAACTAAACTACATAAGTTTGTTACAGACGCATATGTGAACAGCCACCTTAGATAATCCACCCTGTCGGCAAAAGGGGCTTCATGATCGCATCCAGTTGTCTTCTCACAATTTAAAAGTGGGGAAAAGCACTTAGCTCAACACAGAAATCTGCCACAGCGAGTGAAACGACAAAAGCGTTGGTTTTAGTTCGAAGCCGCCATCGTCTGCAAATAAGGAAGATGATAAATCCATTTCCAGCTATGGTTGCGATGTTATTAGCCTGTTAATAAAAGTGCTTATTTGTTTGCCGAGAACTGAAATTTGTGTCAAACCATGTTATACTCAGCGATAACACTAAATTATATGTTAATGAAAGTGATCCTCGCAGTAATGTGCACTACTTAGGCAGTAGTGAAAATAAGGCCTGAAAAAAATTCAGGCCTGTACGGGATTTGAACCCATGACCTCTGCGATACCGGTGCAGCGCTCTACCAATTGAGCTAACAAGCCAACTAGGTGCTGGTCATGAAGTTGGTTCTAAATAAACCCGTGAAGTGATGAATAAATGGTTAAGAATATATGAAAGTCATATATTTGAACTGCGGATAAAGACGTTAATGAAAGTGATCTTCGCAGTAATGTGCACTACTTAGGCAGTAGTGAAAATAAGGCCTGAAAGGCCTTTCACTACTGCCTATGTAGTGCATATTACTGCGAGGATCACTTTCATTAACGTCTTTATCCGCAGTACAAATATATGACTTTCATATATTCTTAACCACTAAATTATATCTTAGTCCGGCGCGTTGGCGTTTAAATCAGCTGTTATTTAAGTATGTAAATTTTTAATTTCTGCCCCTTTATCTGCTTCACCCATAACGTTTAGAAAACTAGCACATTTTAGAACTCTCTGTTCTTACTGTGGCTGATTTCATCGGAAAACGTGGACACGAACTCAAACACTGACTTGTTCAGGGCAAAATTATTCCTTACTGAAAACCACCTGAATGCAGCTTTAACGCAGTCAAACAAGTACCAGAACTTCTGATTAAAAATGTGGCTCGGAATAAGTTATTCACATAGTCGAGAACAGAAAAACTTTCTTTCCAGTACTCAGCTACTGAAGTTAAGTATTTTTAATGTTTTCTTTTCTTTGAACATCCTTAGTATATTGATTAAATATGTTTGAAAAAAAGTTAAATTTTAACCGTCCATTACGTCTAGAAAACATTTAAGTGCAACATCTTGCAATATTGTTGAGAGATTTTGTGAAGGAACTGGCCAGACGCACGCAACATCAGAATATGCTGCAACAAAAATGTGACCATTTTTAAACTTGATCCAAACGTGTGCAACACAAGGCGCGCAACGATGTTGCGTTTGGCCAGGCCTTTATACACTTGCCACTCAGAAAGCAAAATTTTTCACGGCTCAATTAAATATATTCATACCTTTCTTCATAGTTTGGTACGAATAACATCTCTTTTCTTTAGAGGAGGAGGGAGCATCAGAAAACCCGATAGGAGCACAAATTTGTCTGTAGTTAAACTAAAGGCGTTGAAGCTGCGTCATATGTATGTTTTACTCAACGAATTTCTTTAAACGATTTGGCAATAACACTAAATAAAACGAAATACTCTGGTCGAGTTGGTGTTAAAATTACCTGCCATTTACATTGGTTAAAGTTTCATGCAACACCAAACCTCCCCCCCGCCTCCTCCTCCTTTCTTATACTTTCTCTGACTTACTCATAACGAAAGGGCAATTGGCAGGTATGAGGCGGTACCGGAGGCCAACTTGACCTTTTGGGAATGCTTTTATTTTCTCACATATTAAATATTATTGTTTAAGTCGCTTATTTGCAAAATTTGACAATTGGAAAACATGCTGCTTTCGAAATAAATGCGATTGAAATTTCGTTTCGAAGGACTAATCTTGCGCAAAATAATAAAGATACACTATCCTGGCCTAATGGTGTTCTCAGTTTATGCTGTGTTTCCTTTGGATGACATTTTCATTCAGCAGTGAAATATGAAGCGCTTTTTACCATGGTACTCGGGAGAGAGTTCTTCAGTAGCTAACCACATATTTTCCGAGCAATCAATACACAAATATGTTTTCTTTAGCGTTTTTATTCTAAAAATTTTTAATAACATTTCTATTTTTTGGGATGCGTCCCAATCACAAGCGAGTGAATAAACACGTATTCTATTTTTTTTCACGCCACGTTTAAAAGGTTGAAAGTTGTGACTTTCAAATGCCCACACCACGTCGTAAATGTTTTGGTTCCCTATGACGCATTTTCCTTCTTTTCACCTCCCAGGCAAATGACGTCAATTCCTTTAAGTGAGGGAAAGGCTAGAACATTAACTCCGAGCACTATTTTCGTCTTGCTTTCCCATCTCACGCTAATGCGCAGCATGGGCGCCAAGATTGTCTTAACACCGACCGCAGGTGTCATTGCTACGGATGAATTTCATATTCTGATTGGCAAGACGAGTATGGCGATTATTACCATCTATATCGCGCTCTTTCATACTTCAAACTCTTCACAACATACGCTTGTGCGATAAAGAATTTTAAAGAGTGCCTTCAGATTCACACGAACAGGTAATCAAACTCGAATGAGGTAAAAGATCACTAGGGTGTCAAGCAATAAATTGGAGAATAAAGGTAGCCTCGTTCAAGAGACAAAAATCACAAGGTGATCTTGGAATACAATTTTGTTTCGTTCCACAATTATCAACGCCTATTGACAAACCCATTAATGAAAGCTTAAAAACCAATTTTGCGAATTCTTGAATTAGCTGAAAAAGTTGAATCACTTTGCCTAGATGACGCAGAAAATACATTTTTTCATCTCCTTCTTTATATCCCGCTTGTAGAAGGCGTACGCAATGGGGTTAATAGCAGAGTTTAAAACAAGGAGGGGTATTTTATATTCTTCATCATCACATGTTTTTCCTGTTTTGAATATTAATATAAAACCACATCGTAAAGCAAATGTGTTCGCCAGAAGGAAAACTCCTATAACAATTGCCATCATTTTAACTGCAGATTTCTCCTGGATTTTGAACAGAAATCGATGATTAAAGTGGAGCTGCTTTGCTAAGACACGAGCTGCTCGTTCGTGCTTGTTAACAACAATTAGCATTGAAGCGAAGCAAAAGACCAGACCACAGCATGGCAGAAAAGCCAAAAAAAATATATTCAGCGAAATAAATATTTCAAATAGTGGACGCTGGCTTGGACAAAGCCAGTTCATTCTGAAAAAAGCCAAAGTAGTTATAACTGGAATCGCCCAAGAGATGAAAATCACCAGGAAAACGCGGCGACGTTTCATAAAAGTCAAATATTTGAAAGGCATTACGACAGCAACATAACGCTCCAGGACTAAAGTACATAGGTTTACCACTGAGGCGAATGGGAATAAGTTCCTCAAATCGTTAGATAACCTGTTGCAATCACCTTCTTCTGGGCAGAAGAACAATGAAGGGAAAGTGGTCACTCCAACAAAGAAATCTGCCACCGCAAGAGAAACGATAAACGCGTTGGTTTTGGTTCGGAGCCGCCTTCTGCTACAAACAATGAAGATAATAGATCCATTTCCACTTATGGTCACGATAGAGAGAGACCAGCCAAGAATCCAAAACCAAGTTTCCATTTTGTTATCTGCCTTAGAGTTATTTTTTAAAATGATTACACAGATATATTGTCAAGAATCGTACGAGAAACAACTGAAGAAAGATCGTAGTCCCTGAGGCAGCTGTTGATTTCATATTTATGAATTTTTCCCCTATATAGGTGTATATCGGAGAGCCATCATGACGCCATATGTTAGGCTCCTTAATAACAGTGAAGACATTGTTCCTGTTCTGAAAATATAATTTCGTTGAAACGCAACTTCCTTTTTTTGGAAAAAGTGTATGGCGTTAATTATCAATACTACATGGTCTCGGCTTCAACATAAGTTGGAATGAACAATTTTGATGACTTAATCTGAAATGATTTCATCATAACGGCTCTGTCTTGAAATATAATTGTGAATCCAAAACCAAGATTATATTTGGTAATATAAGTAGTTTTACTCCTATAACCTTCCAGAGACTTGTCATGGATAAACAATCATAAGTTATTCTTCGTATAATGATAATGATAATGATAAGGAAATTATATAGCGCTAAAACTATAAACAATATTCAGAAGCGCTTTACATAAGTTAAAGTTCTATAATAATTAAAATTAAAATATTCAAAGGCAATAAACATTAGAACTATTGAAAAAAACTAAAAGCTTTCCTAAATAAAAATGTTTTAAGTTGCTTTTTAAAAATGGCCAGGCTACTACTTGTTCTTATAGTTAATGGCAGCGAGTTCCATAAAACAGGTGCAGCATGAGCAAAGGCCCGATCCCCAAGTGAAGAGCAGTTGGCTTTTGGAACGAACAGAAGAGATTGAGCAGACGAGCGAAGAGCACAACTAGTCCCTGGTTTCAGGGACAAAAGATCTTTAGTGTGAGGAGGACTATGGTTGCGTATAATGGACACCAACATCTTTTACTCCTGATATCATGATCAAATACAGGTGGAGAAAGTGTTCCTCAAGATCTATTTGGAAGAGAACTGTTATGGAAAATTAAACTCATGTTTGCGCTAAATTTGGCGTCCTAATGACATACAACGAGTCCACCTTATGTGCTAGCATATAACAGCAGCCGGCTAAAAACCTTAATTTTGTTTGAAAGTAAATATCTACTCACAACTTATTAACAAAAATTCTTCAATATGATGGCGTCTAAGAAGAGTTCTTAGCTTTCTCCCATTTCAAAAAAACACTTGAATTCGTCTAACGTCTGTAAAATTTCTACTGCCAAAGCTAATCGTTGGTAATTTTACGATTCACTTTTAAGCAAGAGAATATCAACTGTGCTAACCTATCCCTGTGACCCATGATTGTTTTTTTGAAGTCCATTTTAAATTTCGCACCACGCTGGGAAGTTATACTTGTTCACACGTCGCATGATAACGCGAATAACGATCTTGATATCATCTGTCGTTGTAGTTTCCAATGTTCAAGTTTTAAACGAGTTTTTAAAAATTGTAACCGCTCAATATAGAAACAAGTGTCTAAATGTTTGCCTCACCATTCGAATACTCACCTTAAGTCAATCAATCATATCAATCATATTCTCTTCTTCTTGATTGTTTGTAAGTCTTTTAGCAGCAAGATGGGAATATTTGCGTTACATCAATCCTCATACCCTTAATTAGAAGTGGATTCGCAGAAAAATTTATAGTTTAAAAATTACATATATATTTAGTTTAAAAGTTACATATCAAAACCGCACTAGAAAAAGAATATTCCTGTGAATAATTACAATCAAGTTGACTTTCATTATTATGTCTAGGAACCAAATGCAAACCTTGGAACCTCCCTAACGTGAAGCGGACCTGTTTTGTTTTGGTTTTAGTAACTGCGAGGTCCCGTAGACGAGTTCTCGCAAACAATCAGGGGAATATAATTGTTCCTTTATTTTCTCTTACCTGAACTAAACTGTCAAAACGATCGATTGGACTATCTTAATTTGCTAGTCAATAATGGTAGATATAATTTCAGTATAACCAGAAGCATCTTATTTACCTTGTCATCCGAAAGATTATACTTTTAAAAGTGCCTTTATTGAATTTTGGCTGACGTAATTGATTTGTGCAACGATGAGTTCATGTCTAACAACATAATCAATCACAATGAGATGAAAATGTTCGGAAAAAAACCTTAAATATGCATGGTTCATGCACGGAAAATCTTGCCAGATATGTTCATCCTTTGAAAAGTGAAAACGGTACGATAACGTAAAAGCGATGTACTTATAATCCGAACTTAATTCAAATGCAAAAGCTTCACTAATTTAGAAAAATAGATATGTTTAAACTCTCTCAAAAGTCCTTCGGCGGTTTTCCAAGGCAATTTTTGGGCTATCAGTGAACACCTGGCTTCGTGAGACCTTTCTGAATTTGCATAGTAGGGTAATGTTATCAACATATTCCTAAGACAAAACGACAAGTAAGCGGCAAATGGTCCAACGAACGAATCAGGAAGGTGTCTTCAACCCCATATCTGTTGTTCAACTTGATCAGAAATGCAGTTCACAGCACAGGACAAACTTTTTTAAGCCAACCTTTTATTTCGATTACTTTTCCTTCTTTGAGTCCAAGAAAAAAGACAGATCATCGTAAGTTTTAACTTACGATGATCTGTCTTTACTTCAAAGTAAAATAATCGTACTCACGTTTGCGAACGACAAAAACCATATGGCATTCGTACTGTGTTTCAGCCGCTTTCCTTTGTATACGCCGCCTGAATCGGCTTAAACATTAATTGAGTCAAATAAACACATTCTGCACACTCTGAATTAACTGTTTACGCATCAGGTAGCATATCTGTTTGATTAAGTATCTCCCCGTTTTCTTTTTAAGTAATCAAAGCTGAAGGAAACTTCCCCTTCGATGAAAACTCACTTTTTCATGGGCGTATTACAGTGCTTACTGACCACGAAATAACTGTTTACTCTTTTAGTCTTAGAAAAACACAATCGAGGTTAGATTTGTCGTCAACAAAGCCACAATGGAGAAGCAATAATTTCGGGCACAATATTTGTCAAGAAACTTGATAAAACGATATCATATATCTTTTTATACCCGACATTGACGAAGCACCACAGTTTCTTTAAAATCTTCACTCCCTTTATTCAGTTGTATATTGAAAACTGGCTTAATAACTAAATTACTGACTACCCTGACCGACTGAATGATTGACTGACGGTATGAATTAGATCTGAGTGACTGACTTACTGACTAGCGGACGGATGGACGGATGGACGGATGGACGGACGGACGGACGGACGGGGAACGGGGGACGGACAGACGGATGGACGGACGGACTGACGGAAGGACAGATGAACTGACTGACTGAATGACAGACTAAGCGACTGACATACAGACTAACTCACGGACTGACGGACTGACTGAAAACTGACTGATTGACAGAGTAATTGACCGACTGAGTGACTGACTAATTGAGTGACTGACTGATTAACTAACTGACTGATTGACTGACCGACCGACTAAGTGAAGGACTGACGGATAAGGTGACTGACGGACTAAATGAAAAATGAAAATGCCAAGACCAAAATAACTAGTCCAAATGGTCCAAATAAATGGTCCAAGAGATAACAAACATTTGGAGAACGCGTTTGCGCGTCATAAAAGTCAAGTAACTTAACGGCTTCAAATCAGCAACGTAGCGCTCCAGGACTAAACCGCACAAGTTTGTAATCGAAGCGTACCCAAAGAGCCATCTTAGATAATCCATCCCGCTCGCTAAGAAGGCCTTTGGGTTACATCCAATTATCTCTTCGCAGACGAAAAGCGGGGGAAAAGTACTGAGCCCAACACAGAAGTCCGCCGCTGCAAGAGAAACTATAAATGCGTTGGTTTTGCGAAGCCGCCGTCTTCTGCTAACGAGGCAGATGATAAATCCATTTCCAGTTATGGTCAGAATGGACAGAGAGCAGCCAAGAATCGAAAACCAAGTTTCCATTTTGTGGTTGTTGAGTGGAAAACTGTGAGGATATACTTTCGCTGAGGACTTGAACTAAAGTAAGAACAAACATTGAAAATATCTGGTGATTTTCTCTTGTTCGGAGGTCCCTCAAAAATACGTCACAATTGATTAATCAGGCTGAATTCTTGCCGCTCTTAGTGTTAGGTCAACCCACAATCCTCCATTCCAGATTTGGTAACTCAATGAACTAAAGGAAGGAAACTAATCATAGGAGAGGCACGTCGGAGGGGAAACACTCGTGTGTGCATCTGTGCTTATTGACCAAAACCGCACAAATAATCATGTCCGCAGTGACGTCAACCTTTCTCATTGACATTGAGAAATTTCTATCTAAAAATAGCTAAATAAGAGTCTTGACAACCTATCTCTGACAGCTTGATAAAAAGGTAATAATATGAAGGCCGATGGCGAGATCACTGGCAGAGAAGACATAATGATGAAATGGTGATAACAAATTTTATAATGGAATTGTGAGACCGAAGGAGTTACGCACGCTATGTAATTTTTTTCTCCTCTTGCTTTTTTTGGCTTTGTTGTTGTTGTTGTTGTCGTTTTTTTCTCGAGACCTTAATATTTGATTAGACAATAGTAACGTTCAGAAACATTCGGCGCTAGTCCAGTATTAAAGGTTTAGGATTAACGCAGTAATTCAAAAGTTGGTTGTTTGCCTGCAGGATAAAATTATTTCTTACTGTAAACCAGCTGATCTCAATTGACATCAAAACTAGAACTCACTTCTACTCACCCGCAATTTATTCCGGAAGAATACTCGATACATTTTCTTCATTTGTATCGTACACATACTCTGCTGAGTGAATCTCTGAAAATCTTTTTATTTCAATTTTTACTTTAAGTCCTCCTTGCACTTTTAAAAACATGCGCAAATTTAAATTAAGGCAAACTATTTCCATCCGTTAAATCTTACCAGAGTCATTTAGCATGAAGAGACAACTAGCTCATTCCTTTAACAACTATGTTGTTGCTCGGTCTTGTTTCTTGAAAAATGTAAAAACAGCTAATTAAAGTTCGCTTTTTCACCAAAGTAGCATTACTCATTTTTCAAAACAACCTAACTCTAAAATCTTTCTTAACCTAACTCCACTTTTCTAAAACTAATGAACAACCGCTAAGCGGTTAAACTTAGATTTAAAGGGAAAAAGAACAGTTCAAGATGGAAAAATAACCATGGCGTTAAACGACAAATTGGAGAATAAAGGTAGCCTCATTTTAGAGACAAACACTAATGAGGTGATTATGAAATATAGTATTACGAAAATTCGAATATTTATCTTTGTCATCTGCAAGTGAGGTAAACAATGAATGCAAAGCTGGAAATATCAGGAGGAAGTTTATTACTTTCATGTTAAAAACAGCCCTCGATGGCTTAATGATCTACACAGGAATTGAAAAGAATCTGTTATTTAAAAATTTTAGCAAGGTTCGCAAAATGCGTCATTTAAAAAGTTTTCATGGGCAGTCGATAAAAACCATTATACGCTCGCAAAACAATTATAGAGGGGTGAAAAACATAGTACACCTTGAGAGAAACATTGATTTTCTCTATTTACAGCGGTTTGGCGTGTTAGTGAATCGAATCTTATACTTGAAATGTTTGGCGGTTGTCTTTAATCCAACGTCATGTTTTTTTTACAGTGCCACGAGCTTTTGGTTCGTGCTTCTCCGCACTCCTCTCGTGTTCTGTTCGCCAGGTCTTGGCACTCGTGGTGCTAAGACAATTTCTTCATGCCAAGTTACGGTGTGGTCCCTGGTGAGGCTCAGTTTAAAAAGAAGGCAGGGCTACCAAGCTGGTTTTCAACGGTCGTGTTTGAAGGTTGATGTGTACGTGGCCTGTTAGAAACCTCTAAACTGGAAATTTTCGAAGCAAACTGCGGCACAGCGTTGGTCGCACAGGGAAGATTGAGTTTCTATTGAATTGAAATGAAACTGCAGTATGCGTGCTTGGATTCTGCGTTGGATTTGTGGCCGCCCAGCCATTTTGCATTGGAATTTTTCGCTTCTCAGGTCGGGCGTTCGGAAATGGAGTGTTCAGCCTTGGGCTTTTCTTATGTACGTTGAAAACCTCGAAATGGACAACTCGCTAAAATGGGTTCTTTTCATGAAAGTAAGCAGTCAGATAACAAGTGATACGCTGTGGAAGTAAGGTGAGATATTTTAATTGAGAATTTGACGTATTGTTTTATTCCTTAGAGCGGTCGTAAATATTCCCATAAAAACTCTTATAATTCCGCATTAACTGTTATTGCGCGAGATGATCATCTCACAGCTGGAGCTTGGGCTGCCTGTGGTATAACAGTGGGTGCATGTCTAACAATATAATCGAGCGTAATAGATGAAAATGTTCTGCATAAAATTTCATTTCTTAAGTAGACAAGACTCGTTCAAGGAAAATCTGTGACTTCATTCTTTAACGGCTCGAAACTTAAATAGGATTAACATATCATTCGTTTGAAAACCAAATTAACTTTTCAATTATCAGTGAACGCCTGGCTCAATGAGACCCGCCTGAATTAGTAGGGTACTGTTCAAGAGGTTATAAACTGTGATGTCTTGTAGGTTATCGTTAACAAGATTATCCTAAAGAACCAAACGACAAGAAAGCGGGAAATGGTCCATTTAAGTAGTCAAAGCCTAAGGAAACTTTCACTTTCAAGAAAACTCACTTTTTCATCGCTTATTGCAGTGCTTGCTGACTTCGTTTATCTACGTCGCGAAATAGCCGTTCTTCTTTCACTACTCTGACCGATAGACTGATTGTATGACTGACTGACTGACCGACCGACTGACTGACTGGGTGAATTCTCTGACTGATTAACCGATTGAATGGCTGACTGACTGATTGGCTGAATTCACCGACCAATTGACTGATTGAATGACAGATTGACTGAGAAGCTGAATGCTCAGACTAAGGACTGACTGAGTGGCTGGCTTAATACTCTGACCGACTGAATGATCTTATGACCGACTGAATGATCGGATGACCGACTGAGTGATTGAATGATTGGCTGAATGATCGAATCACCGGCTTTATGATCGCCGGATGATCGACTGAATGATCGGATGACCGACTGAATACCCTGATCGACTGAATGATCGGATAATTGACTGAATGATCGAATGACCGACTGAATGATCGAATGATTGACTGAATGATCGGATGACCGACCCAATGATCGCCGGATGACCGACTCGATGATCGGATGACCAACTAAATAATTGAATGACCGACTCAATGATAGAATGGCCGGCTGAATGATCGGATGACTGAATGAATACCCTGATCGACTGAATGATCGGATGACCGACTCAATGATCGGATGACCGACTCAATGATCGGATGACCGTCTGAATGATCGGATGACCGACTGAACGATTGGATGAACGACTGAATACCCTGATCGACTGAATGATCGAATGACCGACTGAATGATCGGATGACCGACTGAATACCCTGATTGACTGACCGACTGACTGACTGACTGACTAGCTGACAGAATATGCTGACCAACTAACTAAATGACTTAACACTGACTAATACTGATCAACTGATTGCCCCGACAATTGACTTAAAACTGACTGTCTTATTGACTGAAAGACGTACTGAAAACTGGCTAACTGACTGTCTGAAGGACTGAGAGACTGACAACTGACTGACTGACAGACTTAGTTGACTGATAGACTAGGTAACTTACGAAATGACTGAAAACTGACTGGCCGATTGACAAACTGACTGGCTGACTGACAGACTGATTTGCAAACCTATAAAATGAAACAGACTGGCAAAATTAGACAAAAGTAACCTTAACAGTTAAAAATAAACCAAAAGGAACGAGAATCGATAAAACTCGATGAGATTAACAGGATCCTTTTTTATTGTTATGATCTACTCTTGTCATCATGCACACACCATAAGCAAATTCTTAATTATAATTTCATACTTAAGTTTTTGACTGTTTACCCGATCTCGGAACAAATATTAATAGTTCAAGACAAATTCTGGTTGATTAGGAGTTTATTCAGGGTATGCTGCTCTGGTTTGACGCGTTAAATATTGTAGTTGCGCAGGATGAAAGAGTTGTTTTCATAAATTGGATCACTGTGGTGTTTCTTTTTACAAATGACGCAGCAAATATACCGTTTTATCTCCATGTTTATGTCTCTCTTGAAGACGGCATAAGCGAAGGGGTTAACAACGGAGTTTAATACAAGAAGGGGAATTTTATATTCTTTATCATCACACGGTTTTCCGTCTTTCAAAATGTATATGAAGCTACATCGTATAGCGAATGAGAAGGCTAGAAGGAATATACCAATAACAATTGCCATTATTTTCACGGCAGCCTTTTCCTTGATTCTGAACAAAGATCTTTGGTTAAAGCGGAGTTGGTTTGCTAAGATGCGGGCGGCTCTTTCGTGCTTATAAACAACATAGTACATTGATCCAAAGCAGAATATTAACACACAAGACGGCAAGATTTCTAAAAATACCATTGAAATTGAGATGAGCACTTTAAACAACACAATCTCTTCAAAAATAAGCCAGTTTAGTAAAAACGCAAAGACGACAACAACTGGAATGGTCCAAGACATGAAAATCATCTGGAAAACGCTTCTGCGTGTCATAAAAGTCAAGTAACTTAACGGCCTCACAATAGCAATGTAGCGATCCAGGACTAAACTGCACAAGTTTGTCACAGACGCATATATAAACAGCCACCTGAAATAATCCACCCCGCTGGCTATGAAGGCCGTAGGGTCGCATCTGGTCATCTCCTCGCAGACGAAAAGCGGTGGAAAAGCACTCCAGCCAGCACAGAAGTCTGCCACTGCGAGAGAAACGACAAACGCGTTGGTTTTGTTTCGAAGCCGCCACCTTCTGCAAACAAGGAAAATAATAAAGCCATTTCCAGTCATGGACAAGATGGAAAGAGACCAGCCAAGAATCCAAAACCACGTTTCCATTTTGTGGTCTTCAGGTGGCCGGCCCAATACAAATGAAAGCTTAGAGTATAAAGTTTGGGTTTGGACTACAAGACTACAATTCCCTATGCAACTAAAAAGCATTGGAAAACACTTCGTTGATTTTATGATGTCGTCTCCCTCAAACACATCGCAGTTGACAAATCAGCCTGAAATCCGGCCGCTCTTACCGTTAAGTTAACAGCCTCTAGTCCTTCAATGAAGTCAATGAATCAAAGGAAGGTAACTGATCACAAGAGAGGCACCCACGGGATACTCATTCTAGTACACTTCTATTCTAATTGATGAAAATCGCACGATGTTCGTGGTGATATGAACCTTTTCCACGAGCAGTAAGAAACTAAATTATTGAAGATAGCTAAATATGGATTTTGACAACTTATCTCTGACAGCTTCAGCACATTGTCAGGTCTCCTTTTGTTGCCTTAAAATAAATATATGTTATTTGCCGGCTGGGAGGTCCGTATGGTGAAAAACTGTGACCGAGGTCTTAGTTTTTCACCATACGGACCGACCCTTAGCCGGTAAATAACATATTTATTGTTTTTAAACTTGACGAAATTCTTTCCAAAAGAACCCGAATGACTTATGGCCGTAAATACGGCAAGATCTTCCATAAACTGAACAATTTTTCAGTGAGTAAATGGTAGTTAAAATAGAGGTGATGCAAATTTAAGAGAGATGCCTCGGCGAAACATTTTCATTTCCGTAACGATAAAGGTAATTTAAAAGGCTTCCAAACAAACTTTGAAACATTATTTTTACAAGTATTTGTCACAATCTGACACCTGTCGATTAGAGAGCGCGCAAGAAAAAAAAAATCGTGGGAACATTTGAAAACCAACAGAACTAGTTTGGCAAGGCCTGTCACGAAAATGTTTTCTTAAAAATCAGTTAATGATCTAACGGAAAGTATTATTTACTCTCATCGACCATTCATTCATGTACGAAGATTTACCTCTGTTCATTAAGTAAACGGCGAGGAAAGTAATTGTGAGTAAATTTAATTTTTTATTTTGAAGTTGTGAGAGTTTGCTCGTTTGTTTGCTGTAATGGCGTGTTTAACTCTGATCTTTCCTTCACAAAAACTAAATTCGAACGGCACACTCCAACGAGACACAAGGGAATTTAATGCAGCATTTTCTCAATTCCTTCAATTTCTGTTGTGCAATTTAAGGTACAAATGTCCAAATTGAACGGAATTGAAAAGACTCACCAGGAGCGTATATTTGTTGTAGAACTTAAATTAAAACTTCGCTCGCTTTTTTTTTACTATGAACAAATTGCTCGAGAAAATTCAGATATTAAATGAATGAAAGTTCCATCGTTCAGTTTAACTGTAACCAAATACCTCACGTTTCAACTTTCTGGGTACTTTTTGTGAACGATTAAAATTAATTGCAGACGGTTTTTAGGCCGCTTGTCAACCAACGTAATGACACTATTGTTTATACAAATTCATTCTGAAACCAATATTTTTCTATCAACCAAAGTGATTTGATAGAGAGAAAAGGGAGGATTCATAAGTTATTTATCGGCTTGAGGTAGTGACCGACGTGTTTGCTTAAAAATACTGCCCAGCCGGAAAACGAGGTATATTTATGAAAAGTGACAACGAAAGTTGGGATGTACTCGGCGACTCACGAAAGCGTTACCGTGGCCCGTGGGCAGAGATAGGAAAATACTGACCGGGTAAAGAACCAATCAGATTGCAAGATTCGTTACCGTGCCCTCTAAAAAAACAATAAAATGTCATAATATACAGACTAATTGCAAAAAACACTGTCAGAAAACAAGTAATAAAGTTTATTGAAAGCAGTAGTGCTGAAATGATGCTAACATTAACTGCTTTCTGTTTGGATGAAAACATCGCTTAAAAAAGTCAATTCCATAACGAAACGCTATGCCCTAGCGAGCAAAAGCGCCCGCTATTTCCGGCTATTTCTATATCAGTTCTTTGTAGTTGATTTTTGTTGTAAACTTGCTTCTCCTCAAAATAAGTGTAATTTCATAGTATTTTCGCTGATTGCTAAGTCTCAAAAATGCAATTTATTCAGCCGCTTCTTAACAATTCTTCAACCACCTTATCTATTTTTAGCGAGTCATATTTTCCTCCTTTAATTTTATAGATGGCTAAAGAAAGAGGGCAAAAGTTCCATTTTTGCCTTTCCACTGTCAAAAGCATCGAACAGTTAGTAAATCACCCGCTACATTCTTCGATATGGAGTAAAATCGTTGCATACCTCGTTTCATTACTTTCAACACGCTAACTAATTGAAAGATGAAACTTCCCTATGAAGACAGTTCACTTTGTTTTATTTGCATATAGCGACAAGTTATCATCAGTCGCATTTGGTTAAAACAAGTCTCTTCTCCTCTTTTAAACTTAGTGTTCGGTCACTTTATAGTGGGTTACACCTTAAATTATAGTTGTGAGCTTGATGATAAAATATTTCGTAAAATCTGTCGCGACAACACTAATCACAACGTTTTTAGACTCTACCTAAACGAGGCAAAGCATCTTCACTTACGCAAGTGTTTATCGATTTTTTCTCACCTGCCTTCTATACTGCATTATCTTTTGAAAACTCCAACGTTTTGATGCATTTTCACCAATCTTCCGCTTAGAATCACCCGACAATATCTGACCTACTTCTTTGCCATCTTTTTTAAAAGCTTCCTTCTCCATCTGTCCACACAGAAAACGGAACATTTCAAACGTGATGCATTTTCAAAATACTCCACCAGTGTAACCTTTTCCGAATATCTACCTTGCACCTGCGTTTTTTGGTGTTTAAGTGTGGATGACAAGCAAAATACAAAGGAAAAAGTAGACATTATCGAACGTCAGGTAAACACGCTAGTGTGGACGAGGCCTTTTCAGAACTGAGTTTCTCTCTATATCTAACAACTCTTTTTACCTCCTTCCTTATGTCCCTCTCAAGATCTCATTAGCAATTCTCCTTACTGTTTGCCATACAACTCATATGATGTCAGTTCTGAGAATTTGCTATTGAATCAACTAATACTCCCCTAGCTGATATTTTCTCTTATGTTCATCACCTTTCTGTTTGATATTGTATTGATTTGGTGAGGAGAAACGACAAACGCGTTGGTTTTGGTTCGAAGCCATCGTCTGCTGTAAACGAGGAAGATAATAAATCCATTTCTAGTTATTGTTAGGATGGAAAGAGATCAGCCAAGCATCCAAAACCAGGTTGCTATTCTTGCTATCGTATTTGTGTTTGTGTTTTCTGCTTCCGTTTATGAATAAGACATCATAATCGAAGTATCATATTTTAAATGGTGACAAACACTATTTACATATGTGTGTTCAGGATTTTGCCTCCACTACTCAACCGGGCACACAAAGAGTTGATATCTGGGCGCGTTGGCCAGCCAAGCCACCGTTTATTTAACGCCAAATCGATATGCCTACGAAAGTCTTATACGATTGAAGTAAACTAAATGCATCAAAGCCGGACACAAAAACCCCTAATAACCAGCAGGCGGAAAAAACGGGGAACGCGTACCCCAAACTAAGGCAGCGGTGCCACCCTTGGGGTTTAAGGGTATCCTATGAATGACATGTTATACACAGTTACTTAAGGTAGCATGCAAGTAAAGCTCTAAACTTATACAAAAACGAAAACGAACAACTAAACACAGCGAAGGCTGACCGTAGAATGCCTTGCCCTACTAACGACCTCTACCTACAAACCACCATCCCATAACTCTCCGCGCACCTTGCACCCGCCCCAGTCCTCTTATACGTGCAGGCAAAATATTAATTTATGCTAAATAGGATTTCCACAAATTGCACGTTTCTCCATATGTTTTAATTCGTCAGTAATAAAAAAGCACTTTGAAAAATTTACAATCATATTCTTGACGTATCATATTCGTATTTTCCGGTAGATCATTAAAGCACGCATCTGCGGACCAATTTTACCATTGCTACTACTCTATTTTATTTTTCCTCACCTGTCTAAACTTCCATGGCCCCTCCCCACGAATTTTAAAGCAGGATAGAATTCAATAATACCAAAAAATTATCATTAACAAGTGCGACCGTGCTATTCTGCCAGTAATTTTTTTCAGTTACGATTCACATTAATATTACTAGCTTCTCTAAACACAGCCGAAAAATGAGAAATGGGCATGAGTGAGTGAGTGAGTGATATTGCAAATTGCATTAAAAGTACTCTCGACACGCGGTTTTTGCGAGGCAATCGATTATATTCTTAGTTGTGTTTAATCGAGCCTCTGACTTGCCTTCTGTACATAACATGTTCGAAACCGAACATTTTTCGTCCTGTTAAACTCCATCTACCTTGCTGCTAAGAAAACACAGTAATCCAACTTCCTGTAATTCCATATTTCTCAGTTGAGCTTGCACACTTTACGACCAGCTACTAAACACAGCAAATGGGATGTCTCTTTTCGTAGGGAGAAATTATTTATTTTTATACCAAGTCACCTAAGCTATAAACTGACAAAACGATCGATTGGACTATCTTAATTTCCAAGTCAATGATGACAGATATAATTTTAGTATAACCAGAAGCATGTTATTTCTCTTGTCACCCGAAAAACTCTACTTCTAAAAGTACTTCTACTGACAGAAGTTTGGCAGACGTAATTAATTTGAACAACAATGAGTGCATGTCTAACAACATAATCAATCACAATGAGATGAAAACGTTCGGAAAAAATTTCTTAAATACGCATGATTCATACACGGAAAATCTTGCTGGATAAGTTCTTCCTTTGACAAGTTAAAACGGTTCAATAACGTAAAAACGATTTACTTGTAATCCGAACTTGATTCGAATGTAAAAGCTTCATTGATTAAAAAAACTAAATTTATAACTCTCTCAAAAGCCCACCGGCGGCTTTCCAAGGCAATTTTTTGGTTATCAGAGAGCACCTGGCTTCGTGAGACCTTACTAAATTTGTGTTGTAGGGTATTGTTAACAAAATCTTCCTAGGACAAAACGACAAGTAAGCGGCAAATCATCCAAGGAACGAATGTGGAAGGTGTTTTTAACCGCATATCGGTTGTCCAACTTGATAGTTCAAAGTCTCAGAAATGCAGTTCACAGCACAAAAAATTTTAAGCGAACCATTTCGTTCAATTGCTTTTCCTTCTTTGAGTCCAAGAAAAAAACAAATCATCGTAAGGTAACTAAAATTATCGTACTCACGTTTGCGAACGACAAAAGCCATACGGCGTTAATGGTGTTTCACCGGCTTTGCGTTGTATACACCACCGCTTGACCATTGATAAAGTCTGCAAATAAACACGTTCTGCATACTCCAAATTAACGGTTCACGTATCATCATCTGTTTGACTCAGTATCTCCCTTTCTTCATTTTAAGTAAGACCATAATGTTTGATTCAAGATTTAACAATGATACCGAAGAGATAAATTTGGTGCTAGTCCAGTCTTAAAGGTTTAGGATTAACTCAGTAATTCAAAATTGGGTTGTTTGTTATGCAGGATAGAATTATCTCTTCCAGTAAACCAGCTGATCTCAACAGACATCAACATCAGAACTCATTTGTAATTTATTCCGGAATAGTACTAATTTTCTTCATTCGCAGCATATACATACTCTGCCAAGCGCATCTCAGAAAGTCAATTTTTTAAATTTTTTATTCAAAGTCCTCCTTGTACTTTTAAAAACATGCGCAAATTTAGGCCAAACTTTTTGCACCTGTTGAATTTTAACTTAGCATGGAGAGATAACTAGCTCATTACTCTAACTTCCATGTTCTTGCTCAGTCTTATTCCTTAGGAAAATTTAAACGCATCTCATTAAAGTTAGCCTTTTCAACAAAGTAGAATTACTCATTTTTCAAACGAACAACCTGATCTCAATTGACATTGAGATCTAGTTTGAGATCTCTAGACCTTATTCATTTGCATTTTATGCCCAGCGATGAAACTTTATATCAATAAAACACGAGTATAACATTTCATTTTGAGCTTTACTCAATAATTTGAATCCTAAAACTATATAACTTGTTTCCTGCTTATAAACGTTAATTTCTATAATAGGGAATGCTTTACGTTATGATCGATCCTAATAGAAAGCTATCTATTGGGAAAAAATCCAGAGTCATTAAGTTATTCAATATTGTTTCTCTTCTTTAAGATCACACAGCGAATGCTTCGTTTTACCTCCTCCTTTATGTCCCTCTTGAACAGAGCGTAAGCAACAGGGTTGATGGCAGAGTTTAAAACGAGAAGAGGTGTTTTAAATTCTTCATCATTACACGATTTTTTACCCTTCAGGATGGAAACAAGAAAACATTGCAAGGCAATTATGACAACTATAATAAATAGGCCAATAACAATGGCCATCAATTTTACAGCAGACTTCTCCCCGCTTTTGAACAAAAATCGACCATTAAAGCGGAGTTGTTTTGCTAGAATGCGGGCAGCTCGTTCGTGTTTATAAACCACAGGTAACATTGAACCAAACCAAAAGATAAGACCACAGCACGGCAGGAACTCGAAGAAAATCATCATTATCCAATAATTAATTAAGAAAAGAGAACTGTTGTCGTTAAAAGCTAGCCATGTTAGAACGAAGGGGAAAATAACAAAAATTGAAAGTGCCCAAGAGAGAAAAATCATCTGAGAAACACGTTTGCGCGTCATGAATGTTAAGTACTTGAGAGGCTTCACAACGGCTATGTAGCGATCCAGGACTAAACTGCACAAGTTTGTTACAGACGCATACGCAAAAAGCCACCTTATCAATTCCACGGCCCTGTTTTCTTTAAAAGCGTCGGGGCTGCATCCAGTTGTCTTCTCGCAGACGAAAAGTGGGAGAAAAGCAACCAGCCCAACACAGAAATCCGCCACTGCAAGAGAAACGACAAATACGTTGGTTTTGGTTCGAAGCCGCCGTCTTCTGCAAACAAGGTAGACGATAAATCCATTTCCGGCCATGGTTAAGATGGAAAGAGACCAGCCGAGAATCCAAAACCAGGTTTCCATTTTGTTATCGAAAAAAGTTGTTTTATACCAGTGATAACCATCTGAAGAAGGATCACAATCCTTGAAACACCTGGTTGATTCCGCCTTTAGAAAATTAACAGCACTGACGTTTTTGATGCTTTAATTTTGTTTGGGGATTTATCAACTACACCAGAGGTAAAGTAACTGTCAAAGAACAATGACATATCATTTTCCCCCAGAGTAAATTTCCGCCTTGAAGGATGAATACGTTAATTGGGCGAAACATTGACCTAGGCGCTCTTTGCAAATACTAAAACACTGTGAATAGGTATGGATTCCAAATTATACTTGAGTCTTGCTAACGACTGTTAAGAAATAGTTAAAAGCCAAATAAGGGGCATCTTTCTTTCTTTCAATTAGAATGAAATGTAATTTTTGTTATAAATTCGTCTTAAAGAATGTTAGCGCTTGTTTATCAGTCGTAGTTCAACATATTCCTCGTTACTGTAAAAAAGGAACTCTATAATGTTTCCATTATTTTCTTTTGAATGCACTTAATTTAGTGTTCTTCCTTGCCCTCGGCCCCGGCAAAAAAATCTATAAAGGTATGCATGTGTGCTGTCTCTGCCGGTTGCGATCGAGTCATACACCACGAAGTGTATACTCTCTCTTGTGAATGAGCGCCGTGGTAGGTAAAATGTTTAAAAATGAAAAGATCGTGTTCATGATGTTTATACGGCGCAACACATTCAAGGATATTCTTGATTGAGAGGTTTACATTTAGCTTTCAGTGATCAGCTGGCTTAAACGATTTCAATTTCAAAACTGACTCTAATTTTAAGAAAAGGTCCGCTTTGCATACAAAATAAACTCAGAATTCCGACCAGTATCAGGCATAGACGAGAGCCCATTAACTGCTCTTGGTTTGTTTGAAAACATCGCCAAAAAGAGTCAATCATTTACCAAAACCTGTATTTCGGCTGTTTCTATATCTTTTTAGTTTATTTTTACTATAAACTTGCTTCTCCTCAAAATGCGTGCAATTTTAAATTGTTTTCGTTGATTGCTAAGTCTCAAAAGTGCAACTTTACTCAGCCGCTTCCCAACAATCCTTCAATCTGGTTTAACGGCCAAAAATTACCACGCCATCTATTTTAAGCGAGTCACATTATCCTCTTCTAATTTTATAGATGGCGAAAAAAAAGAGGGCAAAAGTTCTATTTTTGCCTTTTCACTGTCAAAAATATCGAACAGTTAGTAAATCACCCGCTACATTCTTCGGTATGGAATGAAATCGTTGCATACATCGTTTCACGACTTTTAACACGCTGTAACTAATTGAAAAATGAGACTTTCCTTATAAAGACAAGTCACTTTGTTTTATTTGCATATAGCGACAAGGTATCATCAGTCGCATTCGGTTAAAACACGTATTTCCACCACTTTCAAACTTAGTGTTCGGTCACATTGTAGTGAGTTACACGTAAAATTTTAGTTATGAGCTTGGCGATAAAATATTTCGTAAAATTTGATGCGACAACATTAATCACAACGTTTTTAGTCTCTACCAAAATGAGGCAAAACATCTTCACCTACATAAGTGTTTGTCGATTTGTTCTGCCTTCTATACTGCATTTTCCATGGAAAACTCGTAAGTTTTGGTGCATTTTCACCAATCTTCCGCTTACAGTCACGCGACAATACTTGACCTATTTCTTCAACATCGTTTTTAAAAGCCTCCTTCTCCATCCGTCCACACGAGAAACGAAACGTTTCAAAAGTGGTGCGTGCATTTTCAAAACACTTCACTGAAACTTTTTTCAAAAATTTACCTTTGAATCCGCGTTTTTTGGGTGTTTAATTGGGGATGATAGGCAAAATGCAAAGCAAAAAAGTTTATGCTATCGAAGGTCATGTAAACACGCTAGTGTGGATGGGGCCCTTATAAAACTGAGTTTCTTTCTATATCTAAGAAATTTTAAACTCCCAAGATCTCATTATTAACTCTGGTTATTGTCTGTTATACAATTCTTATGATGTTAGTTCTGAGAATTTGGTATTGAATCAACTAATACTCCCCTAGCTGATATTTTTCTTAAAAAGGTTGCGAGAAAACATGGGTAAAGCTCAAATGAAATAACAGTCAGTGAAAAGAAAATAACAAAGTTAAGTGACAAATTATTATTAAACCATACCATTGTTACTACCACAACAAAAACGATGAGTAACACCCGTTAGAGGCAAGTTATTTGAACGGCGTGGCATCTTTTCATTACAGTCAAGTACTTAACGGTTTCACGACAGCCATGTAGCGATCTAGGACTACCTTGCACAAGTTCACAGAAGAAGAGTAAAGGAACGGACACCTTAAAAAATTTTTACGTGTTCAAGCAGATGACAGTTTTTTTACCGTCTCTCTCTGAATGTCGAGGGAACAATACTCAGCCCAACACAGAAATCCGCCAATGCAAGAGAAACGACAAAAGCGTTGGTTTCGATTCGAAGCCACCGTTTACTGCAAACAAGGATAATAATAAATCCATTTCTTGTTATGGTTACGATAGAAAGAGACCAGCCAAGCATCCGAAAACCAGGTTGTCATTCTTGCTATCGTACTTGTGCTTGTTTTTCCTGCTCCCTTTCATGAACAAGACCTATGTATCATTCGTCGAAGTACCATGTTTTAAATGGAGACAAACACTATTAAATATGTATTTCAAGGTTTCTCCATGTATTTTAATTCATGCGTTAAAGCACGCATCTGCGGACCAATTTTACTGTTGTTACAATATTTAATTCACTTTTGCTGACCCGTCTTACTTACTATAAATCTCCCCTCCCCACGAATTTTAAAGCAGGAAAGCATTAAAAAAAAACCACAACATTAACAAGTGCGATCATGAAATTCTACCAATAATCTTTTTTCACTTACGATTTACACGAATAGTATTCACCTCTCTAAATACAGCCAAAAAACCAGAATATTCAACCTGCGTATGAGATGCATTCCAGGATTTATGCCGAAATGATTTAGCTTGTCATGCAATATTTCGACGAGCCTAAAGACGTATACGTATGAGTGTAATTCAAGTCAGGAGTGTTGAGAGAAAAATTGCCGTATATTATGGTACTAATGAAATAGGTAAGCAATTTTTCACCTCAAGCAGCGGAATAATCAATGATGCATTGAAGATCGGGAAACTAGAAAATGAGCTTTGAAACAAAGCTATAGGTGCATGTCGCATGAGAAATCAAAATGTTGGGAAGAAATACCAAAAGGAAAAATGTAACGAAAGCATAGTTGACGGACTAGCAAAGAAGGCAGAGACAGGAGCAGAACAGCAGAATCAGGAGCATGGGTAGGGAGTAGCTGGGACTGAAGATGGAGTTGGAGCAGGAGAAAGATCAGGAGCTCGAGCTGAAGCAGGATCAGGACCGAATATGGAGCTGTAGCGGAAGAAATAGCAGGAGCTCGAGCTGAAGCAGGATCAGGGGCGTGGTAAGACAAGATTAGGAGCAGAAGCTGAAGATCGAACTGAAGCAGGATCAGGAGCACATGTAGGAGCAAGATTAGTAGGCTGAAGATGGAGTTGAGCAGGAGGAAGAGCAGGAGCTATAGCAGAGAATCAACAGGAGTAGAAGCTGCAACAGGAGATGGAGTAAGAGAAGGAGTAAGAGTAGGATCTGGAGCAGGAGAAGGAGTAGGGGCAGGAGAAAGTGCAGACCCTGGAGTACACTGAAGGATCGACAAAGATAGGGTGTAATTTCAGAAAGACTCAATCATTACCTGTAAGCAACTTATCTTCACGGACAGAATTAAGACTTACGATACCCATTCTTAGGCTACTTCTCAAATCTTATGATTTCGTAGCGGAACGTAAATAGCATCAGAATGGCAAATTGTCTTGTTTTTCTTTGGATAAGTAGTTGTTGCTATGGTTATTGTGATCAATTATGTGATTGTTAGATTTAGCTGAGTGGACCTAATATGATTGGCTGCTTCAAGTATCCGATTATAGGTGTCCGATTACAGCCAACTGTCCGATTACACTGACCGATTACAACTGTACAGAATGATTAGTGAAAAATGAAGCAGCTGATGCACCAATCACATTTAAGGAACTTGTAATGGTTATGATCAACGCAATAATTCACAATTTGTTTGTTTGCCATGCAGGATAAAATTATTTCTTCCAGTATACCAAGTGATCCCAACCGACATCAAAACTAGAACTCACTCCCAATTTATTCTAGAAAAGTACTGGATACATTTTCTTGATTTGTATCATATGCATACTCTGCCGAGCGAATCTCTGAAAATCTATTTTTTTCAATATTTACTCTAAGTCCTTGCACTTTTAAAAACACCACAGAAGCATTACACATTTTGACAAAACAACCTAATCTACTTAAAACTAATAAACAACCTCCAAGCGGGTAAACGTAATTAATTAGAACTCCTAATTTACAATTCATCATGACAGGTACATGACTGAAAACTGACGCAATGACTCACTGACAGACTGACTTGCAAAACTATAAAATGAAATAAACCAGCAAAATTAAACAAAAGTAACCTTAACAGTTAAAAATAAAACGAAAGGAACGAGAATAAGTAAAAATTGATGAGATTAAGAGGATCCTTTGTTATTGTTATGATCTACTCGTGTCATCATGCACACACCATAAGCAAATTATTAATTATAATTTCATATTTAGGTTATAGGCTGTTAACTCGATCGTGGAACAAATATTAATAGTTCAAGACAAATTCTGGTTGAGTAAGAGTTTATTCAAGTTATGCTGCTCTTGCATTGTAGTTGCGCAAGATAAAAAAAATTGTTTTCATAAATTGGATCACTGTGATGTTTCTTTTTACAAATGACGCAGCAAATATACCGTTTTATCTCCATGTTTATGTCTCTCTTGAAGACGGCATAAGCGAAGGGGTTAACAACGGAGTTTAATACAAGAAGGGGAATTTTATATTCTTTATCATCACACGGTTTTCCGTCTTTCAAAATGTGTATGAAGCTACATCGTATAGCGAATGTGAAGGCTAGAAGGAATATACCAATAACAATTGCCATTATTTTCACGGCAGCCTTTTCCTTGATTCTGAACAAAGATCTTTGGTTAAAGCGGAGTTGGTTTGCTAAGATGCGGGCGGCTCTTTCGTGCTTATAAACAACATAGTACATTGATCCAAAGCAGAATATTAACGCACAAGACGGCAAGATTTCTAAAAATACCATTGAAATTGAGATGAGCACTTTAAACAACACAATCTCTTCAAAAAATAAGCCAGTTTAGTAAAAACGCAAAGACGACAACAACTGGAATGGTCCAAGACATGAAAATCATCTGGAAAACGCTTCTGCGTGTCATAAAAGTCAAGTAACTTAACGGCCTCACAATAGCAATGTAGCGATCCAGGACTAAACTGCACAAGTTTGTCACAGACGCATATATAAACAGCCACCTGAAATAATCCACCCCGCTGGCTATGAAGGCCGTAGGGTCGCATCTGGTCATCTCCTCGCAGACGAAAAGCGGTGGAAAAGCACTCCAGCCAGCACAGAAGTCTGCCACTGCGAGAGAAACGACAAACGCGTTGGTTTTGTTTCGAAGCCGCCACCTTCTGCAAACAAGGAAAATAATAAAGCCATTTCCAGTCATGGACAAGATGGAAAGAGACCAGCCGAGAATCCAAAGCCACGTTTCCATTTTGTGGTCTTCAGGTGGCCGGCCCAATACAAATGAAAGCTTAGAGTATAAAGTTTGGGTTTGGACTACAAGACTACAATTCCCTATGCAACTAAAAAGCATTGGAAAACACTTCGTTGATTTTATGATGTCGTCTCCCTCAAACACATCGCAGTTGACAAATCAGCCTGAAATCCGGCCGCTCTTACCGTTAAGTTAACAGCATCTAGTCCTTCAATGAAGTCAATAAATCAAAGGAAGGTAACTGATCACAAGAGAGGTACCCACGGGGTACTCATTCTAATTGATGAAAATCGCACGATGTTCGTGGTGATATGAACCTTTTCCACGAGCAGTAAGAAACTAAATTATTGAAGATAGCTAAATATGGATTTTGACAACTTATCTCTGACAGCTTCAGCACATTGTCAGGTCTCCTTTTGTTGTCTTAAAATAAATATATGTTATTTGCCGGCTGGGAGGTCCGTATGGTGAAAAACTGTGACCGAGGTCTTAGTTTTTCACCATACGGACCGACCCTTAGCCGGTAAATAACATATTTATTGTTTTTAAACTTGACGAAATTCTTTCCGAAAGAACCCGAATGACTTATGGCCGTAAATACGGCAAGATCTTCCATAAACTGAACAATTTTTGAGTGAGTAGATGGAAGTTAAAATAGAGATGATGCAAATTTAAGAGAGATGCCTCGGCGAAACATTTTCATTTCCGTAACGATAAAGGTGATTTAAAAGGCTTCCAAACAAACTTTGAAACATTATTTTTACAAGTATTTGTCACAATCTGACACCTGTCAATTAGAGAGCGCGCAAGAAAAAAAAAATCGTGGGAACATTTGAAAACCAACAGAACTAGTTTGGCAAGGACTGTCACGACAATGTTTTCTTAAAAATCAGTTAATGATCTAACGGAAAGTATTATTTACTCTCATCGACCATTCATTCATGTACGAAGATTTACCTCTGTTCATTAAGTAAACGGCGAGGAAAGTAATTGTGAGTAAATTCAATTTTTTATTTTGAAGTTGTGAGAGTTTGCTCGTTTGTTTGCTGTAATGGCGTGTTTAACTCTGATCTTTCCTTCACAAAAACTAAATTCGAACGGCACACTCCAACGAGACACAAGAGAATTTAATGCAGCATTTTCTCAATTCCTTCAATTTCTGTTGTGCAATTTAAGGTACAAATGTCCAAATTGAACGGAATTGAAAAGACTCACCAGGAGCGTATATTTGTTGTAGAACTTAAATTAAAACTTCGCTCGCTTTTTTTTTACTATGAACAAATTGCTCGAGAAAATTCAGATATTAAATGAATGAAAGTTCCATCGTTCAGTTTAACTGTAATCAAATACCTCACGTTTCAACTTTCTGGGTACTTTTTGTGAACGATTAAAATTAATTGCAGACGGTTTTTAGGCCGCTTGTCAACCAACGTAATGACACTATTGTTTATACAAATTCATTCTGAAACCAATATTTTTCTATCAACCACAGTGATTTGATAGAGAGAAAAGAGAGGATTCATAAGTTATTTATCGGCTTGAGGTAGTGACCGACGTGTTTGCTTAAAAATACTGCCCAGCCGGAAACGAGGTATATTTATGAAAAATGACAACGAAAGTTGGGATGTACTCGGCGACTCACGAAAGCGTTACCGTGGCCCGTGGGCAGAGATAGGAAAATACTGACCGGGTAAAGAACCAATCAGATTGCAAGATTCGTTACCGTGCCCTCTAAAAAAACAATAAAATGTCATAATATACAGACTAATTGCAAAAAACACTGTCAGAAAACAAGTAATAAAGTTTATTGAAAGCAGTAGTGCTGAAATGATGCTAACATTAACTGCTTTCTGTTTGGATGAAAACATCGCTTAAAAAAGTCAATTCCATAACGAAACGCTAATGCCCTAGCGAGCAAAAGCGCCCGCTATTTCCGGCTATTTCTATATCAGTTCTTTGTAGTTGATTTTTGTTATAAACTTGCTTCTCCTCAAAATAAGTGTAATTTCATAGTATTTTCGCTGATTGCTAAGTCTCAAAAATGCAATTTATTCAGCCGCTTCTTAACAATTCTTCAACCACCTTATCTATTTCTAGCGAGTCATATTTTCCTCCTTTAATTTTATAGATGGCTAAAGAAAGAGGGCAAAAGTTCCATTTTTGCCTTTCCACTGTCAAAAGCATCGAACAGTTAGTAAATCACCCGCTACATTCTTCGATATGGAGTAAAATCGTTGCATACCTCGTTTCATTACTTTCAACACGCTAATATAACTAATTGAAAGATGAAACTTCCCTATGAAGACAGTTCACTTTGTTTTATTTGCATATAGCGACAAGTTATCATCAGTCGCATTTGGTTAAAACAAGTCTCTTCTCCTCTTTTAAACTTAGTGTTCGGTCACTTTATAGTGGGTTACACTTTTAATTATAGTTGTGAGCTTGATGATAAAATATTTCATAAAATCTGTGGCGACAACACTAATCACAACGTTTTTAGACTCTACCTAAACGAGGCAAAGCATCTTCACCTACGCAAGTGTTTATCGATTTTTCCTCACCTGCCTTCTATACTGCATTATCTTTTGAAAACTCCAACGTTTTGATGCATTTTCACCAATCTTCCGCTTAGAATCACCCGACAATATCTGACCTACTTCTTTGCCATCTTTTTTTAAAGCTTCCTTCTCCATCTGTCCACACAGAAAACGGAACATTTCAAACGTGGTGCATTTTCAAAATACTCCACCAGTCTAACCTTTTCCGAATATCTACTTTGCATCTGCGTTATTTGGTGTTTAAGTGTGGATGACAAGCAAAATGCAATGGAAAAAGTAGACATTATCGAACGTCAGGTAAACACGCTAGTGTGGACGAGGCCTTTTCAAAACTGAGTTTCTCTCCATATCTAACAACTCTTTTTACCTCCTTCCTTATGTCCCTCTCAAGATCTCATTAGAAATTCTCCTTACTGTTTGCCATACAACTCATATGATGTCAGTTCTGAGAATTTGGTATTGAATCAACTAATACTCCCCTAGCTGATATTTTCTCTTATGTTCATCACCTTTCTGTTTGATATTGTATTGATTTGGTGAGGAGAAACGACAAGAAGGGGTATTTTATATTCCTGACCATCACACGGTTTTTCGTCGTCATTCAAAATGTAAATAAAGCTACATCGCAAAGCGAACGAGTAAGTTACAAGAAACAAACCAATCACAATTGCCATTATTTTCACAGCAGCCTTTTCCTTGATTCTGAGCAAAAATCTTTGGTTATAGCGGAGTAGTTTTGCCAAGATGCGGGCGGCTCTTTCGTGCTTGTAAACAATATAATACATTGATGCAAAGCAAAAAATTAGACCGGAACACGGTAAGAATTCTAGAAAAACAATGGTAATCAGTGTCAGCACTTTAAACAGCAGAATCTCTTTAAAAACAAGCCCGTTTAGTAAAAAAGCCAAGACCAAAATAACTGGAATGGTCCAAGAGATAACAAACATTTGGAGAACGCGTTTGCGCGTCATAAAAGTCAAGTAACTTAACGGCTTCACAACAGCAACGTGGCGCTCCAGGACTAAACCGCACAAGTTTGTAACCGAAGCGTACCCAAAGAGCCATCTTAGATAATCCATCTCACTCGCTAAGAAGGCCTTTGGGTTACATCCAATTATCTCTTCGCAGACGAAAAGCGGGGGAAAAGTACTGAGCCCAACACAGAAGTCCGCCGCTGCAAGAGAAACTATAAATGCGTTGGCTTTACGAAGCCGCCGTCTTCTGCTAACGAGGCAGATGATAAATCCATTTCCAGTTATGGTCAGAATGGATAGAGACCAGCCAAGAATCGAAAACCAAGTTTCCATTTTGTGGTTGTTGAGTGGAAAGCTGTGAGGATATACTTTCGCTGAGGACTTGAACTAATGTAAGAACAAACATTGAAAATATCTGGTGATTTTCTCTTGTTCGGAGGTCCCTCAAAAATACGTCACAATTGATTAATCAGGCTGAATTCTTGCCGCTCTTAGTGTTAGGTCAACCCACAATCCTCCATTCCAGATTTGGTAACTCAATGAACTAAAGGAAGGAAACTAATCATAGGAGAGGCACGTCGGAGGGGAAACACTCGTGTGTGCATCTGTGCTTATTGACCAAAACCGCACAAATAATCATGTCCGCAGTGACGTCAACCTTTCTCATTGACATTGAGAAATTTCTATCTAAAAATAGCTAAATAAGAGTCTTGACAACCTATCTCTGACAGCTTGATAAAAAGGTAATAATATGAAGGCCGATGGCGAGATCACTGGCAGAGAAGACATAATGATGAAATGGTGATAACAAATTTTATAATGGAATTGTGAGACCGAAGGAGTTACGCACGCTATGTAATTTTTTTACCTCTTGCTTTTTTTGGCTTTGTTGTTGTTGTTGTCGTTTTTTTCTCGAGACCTTAATGTTTGATTAGACAATAGTAACGTTCAGAAACATTCGGCGCTAGTCCAGTATTAAAGGTTTAGGATTAACGCAGTAATTCAAAAGTTGGTTGTTTGCCTGCAGGATAAAATTATTTCTTACTGTAAACCAGCTGATCTCAATTGACATCAAAACTAGAACTCACTTCTACTCACCCGCAATTTATTCCGGAAGAATACTCGATACATTTTCTTCATTTGTATCGTACACATACTCTGCTGAGTGAATCTCTGAAAATCTTTTTATTTCAATTTTTTACTTTAAGTCCTCCTTGCACTTTTTAAAAACATGCGCAAATTTAAATTAAGGCAAACTATTTCCATCCGTTAAATCTTACCAGAGTCATTTAGCATGAAGAGACAACTAGCTCATTCCTTTAACAACTATGTTGTTGCTCAGTCTTGTTTCTTGAAAAATGTAAAAACAGCTAATTAAAGTTCGCTTTTTCACCAAAGTAGCATTACTCATTTTTCAAAACAACTCTAAAATCTTTCGTAACCTAACTCTACTTTCTTAAAACTAATGAACAACCGCTAAGCGGTTAAACTTAGATTTAAAGGGAAAAAGAACAGTTCAAGATGGAAAAATAACCATGGCGTTAAACGACAAATTGGAGAATAAAGGTAGCCTCATTTTTAAGACAAACACTAATGAGGTGATTATGAAATATAGTATTACAAAAATTCGAAAATTTATCATCGTTGTCATCTGCAAGTGAGGTAAACAATGAATTCAAAGCTGGAAATATCAGGAGGAAGTTTATTACTTTCATGTTAAAAACAGCCCTCGATGGCTTAATGATCTACACAGGAAAAGAATCTATTATTTAAAAATTTTAGCAAGGTTCGCAAAATGCGTCATTTAAAAAGTTTACATGGGCAGTCGATAACAAACCATTATACGTTCGCAAAACAATTATAGAGGGGTAAAAAAACATAATACACCCTGACAGAAACATTAATTTTCTCTATTTACAGCGGTTTGGCGTGTTAGTGAATCGAATCTTATTCTTGAAATGTTTGGCGGTTGTCTTTAATCCAACGTCACTTTTTTTTTACAGTGCCACGAGCTTTTGGTTCGTGCTTCTCCGCACTCCTCTCGTGTTCTGTTCGCCAGGTCTTGGCACTCGTGGTGCTAAGACAATTTCTTCATGCCAAGTTACGGTGTGGTCCCTGGTGAGGCTCAGTTTAAAAAGAAGGCAGGGCTACCAAGCTGGTTTTCAACGGTCGTGTTTGAAGGTTGATGTGTACGTGGCCTGTTAGAAACCTCTAAACTGGAAATTTTCGAAGCAAACTGCGGCACAGCGTTGGTCGCACAGGGAAGATTGAGTTTCTATTGAATTGAAATGAAACTGCAATATGTGTGCTTGGATTCTGCGTTGGATTTGTGGCCGCCCAGCCATTTTGCATTGGAATTTTTCGCTTCTCAGATCGGGCGTTCGGAAATGGAGTGTTCAGCCTTGAGCTTTTCTTATGTACGTTGAAAACCTCGAAATGGACAACTCGCTAAAATGGGTTCTTTTCATGAAAGTAAGCAGTCAGATAACAAGTGATACGCTGTGGAAGTAAGGTGAGATATTTTAATTGAGAATTTGACGTATTGTTTTATTCCTTAGAGCGGTCGTAAATATTCCCATAAAACTCTTATAATTCCGCATTAACTGTTATTGCGCAAGATGATCATCTCACAGCTGGAGCTTGGGCTGCCTGTGGTATAACAGTGGGTGCATGTCTAACAATGTAATCGAGCGTAATAGATGAAAACGTTCTGCATAAAATTTCATTTCTTAAGTAGACAAGACTCGTTCAAGGAAAATCTGTGACTTCATTCTTTAACGGCTCGAAACTTAAATAGGATTAACATATCATTTGTTTGAAAACCAAATCAACTTTTCGATTATCAGTGAACGCCTGGCTCTATGAGACCCGCCTGAATTAGTAGGGTACTGTTCAAGAGGTTATAAACTGTGATGTCGTGTAGGTTATCGTTAACAAGATTATCCTAAAGAACCAAACGACAAGAAAGCGGGAAATGGTCCATTTAAGTAGTCAAAGCCTAAGGAAACTTTCACTTTCAAGAAAACTCACTTTTTCATCGCTTATTGCAGTGCTTGCTGACTTCGTTTATCTACGTCGCGAAATAGCCGTTCTTCTTTCACTACTCTGACCGACAGACTGATTGTATGACTGACTGACTGACCGACCGACTGACTGACTGACTGGGTGAATTCTCTGACTGATTAACCAATTGAATGGCTGACTGACTGATTGGCTGAATTCACTGACCAATTGACTGATTGAATGACCGATTGACTGAGAAGCTGAATGCTCAGACTAAGGACTGACTGAGTGGCTGGCTTAATACTCTGACCGACTGAATGATCTTATGACCGACTGAATGATCGGATGACCGACTGAGTGATTGAATGATTGGCTGAATGATCGAATGACCGGCTTTATGATCGCCGGATGATCGACTGAATGATCGGATGACCGACTGAATACCCTGATCGACTAAATGATCGGATGACCGACTGAATACCCTGATCGACTGAATGATCGGATGATTGACTGAATGATCGAATGACCGACTGAATGATCGAATGATTGACTGAATGATCGGATGACCGACCCAATGATCGCCGAATGACCGACTCAATGATCGGATGACCAACTAAATAATTGAATGACCGACTCAATGATAGAATGGCCGGCTGAATGATCGGATGACTGACTGAATACCCTGATCGACTGAATGATCGGATGACCGACTGAATGATCGGATGACCGACTGAATGATCGGATGACCGTCTGAATGATCGGATGACCGACTGAACGATTGGACGAACGACTGAATACCCTGATCGACTGAATGATCGAATGACCGACTGAATGATCGGATGACCGACTGAATACCCTGATTGACTGACCGACTGACTGACTGACTGACTAGCTGACAGAATATGCTGACCAACTAGCTAAATGACTGAACACTGACTTACTGATCAACTGATTGACTGACTTACTGGGTCACTGAATACGCTGACCAATTAAATGACTTAACACTGACTAATACTGATCAACTGATTTCCCCGACAATTGACTTAAAACTGACTGTCTTATTGACTGAAAGACGTACTGAAAATTGACTGACTGACTGTCTGAAGGACTGAGAGACTGACAACTGACTGACTGACAGACTTAGTTGACTGATGGACTAGGTAACTTACGAAATGACTGAAAACTGACTGGCCGATTGACAAACTGACTGGCTGACTGATAGACTGATTTGCAAACCTATAAAAATGAAACAGACTGGCAAAATTAGACAAAAGTAACCTTAACAGTTAAAAATGAACCAAAAGGAACGAGAACCGATAAAACTTGATGAGATTAACAGGATCCTTTTTAACAGGATCCTTTTCATATTGTTAATTTCATCTACCTGTTAACCCGATGAATATTAATAGTTCAAGACAAATTCATTAGACGGGTATGCAACGAAATTTCTAAAAAGGATGAAAGAGTTGTTTTCATAAATTGGATCCATTGAAAATGAGATGAGCTCCATGTTTATGTCCCTCTTGAAGACGGCAAACAACAACGGAATTTTATATTCTTTATCATCACACGGTTTTCCGTCTTTCAAAAATAAAGCCAGTTTAGTAAAAAACGCAAAGACGACAACAACTGGAATGGTCCAAGGCATGAAAATCATCTGATCCAAAGAAAATTAACGACGGCAAGATTTCTGCCATTGTGTCATAAAACAACACAATCTTCTTCAAAAACAAGCCAGTTTAGTAAAAACAAAGACGAAACAACTAATGGTCCTCATGAAAATCATCAAAACGCTTCTGCGTGTCATAAAAGTCAAGTAACTTAACGCAATGTAGCAATGTAGCGATCCAGGACTAAATTGCACAAGTTTGTCACAGACGCATACATAAACAGCCACCTGAAATAATCCACCCCGTTGGCTATGAAGGTCGTAGGGTCGCATCCGGTTATCTCCTCGCAGACGAAAAGCGGTGGAAAAGCACTCCAGCCAGCACAGAAGTCTGCCACTGCGAGAGAAACGACAAACGCGTTGGTTTTGTTTCGAAGCCGCCACCTTCTGCAAACAAGGAAAATAATAAAGCCATTTCCAGTCATGGACAGGATGGAAAGAGACCAGCCAAGAATCCAAAGCCACGTTTCCATTTTGTGGTCTTCAGGTGGCCGGCCCAATACAAATGAAAGCTGAAAGTATAAAGTTTGGGTTTGGACTACAAGACTACAATTCCCTATGCAACTTAAAAGCATTGGAAAACACTTCGTTGATTTTATGATGTCGTCTCCCTCAAACACATCGCAGTTGACAAATCAGCCTGAAATCCGGCCGCTCTTACCGTTAAGTTAACAGCCTTAGTCCTTCAATGAAGTCAATGAATCAAAGGAAGGTAACTGATCACAAGAGAGGCATCCACGGAGTACTCATTCTAGTACCCTTCTCTATTCTAATTGATGAAAATCGCACGATGTTCGTGGTGATATGAACCTTTTGCACGAGCAGTAAGAAGCTAAATTATTGAAGATAGCTAAATATGGATTTTGACAACTTATCTCTGACAGCTTCAGCACATTGTCAGGTCTCCTTTTGTTGTCTTAAAATAAAATGTCATAATATACAGACTAATTGCAAAAAACACTGTCAGAAAACAAGTAATAAAGTTTATTGAAAGCAGTAGTGCTGAAATGATGCTAACATTAACTGCTTACTGTTTGGATGAAAACATCGCTCAAAAAAGTCAATTCCATAACGAAACGCTAATGCCCTAGCGAGCAAAAGCGCCCGGTATTTCCGGCTATTTCTATATCAGTTCTTTGTAGTTGATTTTTGTTATAAACTTGCTTCTCCTCAAAATAAGTGTAATTTCATAGTATTTTCGCTGATTGCTAAGTCTCAAAAATGCAATTTATTCAGCCGCTTCTTAACAATTCTTCAACCACCTTATCTATTTTTAGCGAGTCATATTTTCCTCCTTTAATTTTATAGATGGCTAAAGAAAGAGGGCAAAAGTTCCATTTTTGCCTTTCCACTGTCAAAAGCATCGAACAGTTAGTAAATCACCCGCTACATTCTTCGATATGGAGTAAAATCGTTGCATACCTCGTTTCATTACTTTCAACACGCTAATATAACTAATTGAAAGATGAAACTTCCCTATGAAGACAGTTCACTTTGTTTTATTTGCATATAGCGACAAGTTATCATCAGTCGCATTTGGTTAAAACAAGTCTCTTCTCCTCTTTTAAACTTAGTGTTCGGTCACTTTATAGTGGGTTACACTTTACATTATAGTTGTGAGCTTGATGATAAAATATTTCGTAAAATCTGTGGCGACAACACTAATCACAACGTTTTTAGACTCTACCTAAACGAGCCAAAGCATCTTCACCTACGCAAGTGTTTATCGATTTTTTCTCACCTGCCTTCTATACTGCATTATCTTTTGAAAACTTAAAAACGAAAACGAAAACGAACAACTAAACACATCGAAGGCTGACCGTAGAATGCCTTGCCCTACTAACGACCTCTACATACAAACCACGATCCCATAACTCTCCGCGCACCTTGCACCCGCCCAAGTCCTCTTATACGTGCTGGCAAAATATTAATTTATGCTAAATAGGATTTCCACAAATTGCACGTTTCTCCATGTGTTTTAATTCGTCAGTAATATAGAAGCACTTTGGAAAATTTACAATCATATTCTTAACGTATCATATTCGTATTTTCCGGTAGATCATTAAAGCACGCATCTGCGGACCAATTTTACCATTGCTACTACTCTATTTTATTTTTCCTCACCTGTCTAAACTTCCATGGCCCCTCCCCACGAATTTTAAAGCAGGATAGAATTCAATAAAACCAAAAAATTAACATTAACAAGTGCGACCGTGCTATTCTGCCAGTAATTTTTTTTCAGTTACGATTCACATGAATATTACTAGCTTCTCTAAACACAGCCGAAAAATAAGAATATTCAACCTGCATATAAGATGCATTCCAGGAAGGCATTTATGCCGAAATGACGTTTCATGCAATATTCCGACGAGCTTAAAGGCGTATACGTAGGAGTGTTATTCAAGTTGGGAGTGTTGAGAGAAAAATGGCCGAACATGACGGTACTAATGAAATAGGTAAACAATTTTTCACCAATCCATCCAACATCCCAGCCACAGAAATAGTCACCAAAGTCTAGTGGGCAATAAGAGTGCTTGACTCAAAGCGAGCAGACACCGTAAGACGAACTGTAAACGGTATCCTTCAACAGGCCAAACCACCCAAGCCCAACATCACGAAGGATATGCAAAAGGCCTTTAAGAATCTAAAACAACACGACACTATCACTATTCTGCCAGCAGAAAAGGCTGCGCTAGTGTATCCTAGACACAAACACCTACCGTGAAAAAATGAAAACCTTAATTGAAACAGGTCCGTACCAACAGTGTATACCGCGGGCGAAACAGGGAGATCAATGCGAGAAAGGTTGAATGAACATGACAGAGACATACGGTTTGCTCGTACTCAGACCTCTGCGGGAAAAAAGAGGAACAAAGTTGAGAATATCTCCTTGTCTGTTATCTGACATAAAGAAAACAGGTTTAGGATTAACTCAGTAATTCAAAATCGGGTTGTTTGTTATGCAGGATAGAATTATCTCTTCCAGTAAACCAGCTGATCTCAACAGACATCAACATCAGAACTCATTTGCAATTTATTCCGGAATAGTACTAATTTTCTTCCTTCGCAGCATATACATACTCTGCCAAGTGCATCTCAGAAAGTCAATTTTTTAAATTTTTTATTCTAAGTTCTCCTTGTACTTTTAAAAACATGCGCAAATTTAGGCCAAACTTTTTGCACCTGTTGAATTTTAACTTAGCATGGAGAGATAACTAGCTCATTACTCTAACTTCCATGTTCTTGCTCAGTCTTATTCCTTAGGAAAATTTAAACGCATCTCATTAAAGTTAGCTTTTTCAACAAAGTAGAATTACTCATTTTTCAAACGAACAACCTGATCTCAATTGACATTGAGATCTAGTTTGAGATCTCTAGACCTTATTCATTTGCATTTTATGCCCAGCGATGAAACTTTATATCAATAAAACACGAGTATAACATTTCATTTTGAGCTTTACTCAATAATTTGAATCCTAAAACTATATAACTTGTTTCCTGCTTATAAACGTTAATTTCTATAATAGGGAATGCTTGCATTACGTTATGATCGATCCTAATAGAAAGTTATCTATTGGGAAAAAATCTAGAGTCATTAAGTTATTCAATATTGTTTCTCTTCTTTCAGATCACACAGCGAATGCTTCGTTTTACCTCCTCCTTTATGTCCCTCTTGAACAGAGCGTAAGCAACAGGGTTGATGGCAGAGTTTAAAACGAGAAGAGGTGTTTTAAATTCTTCATCATTACACGATTTTTTGCCCTTCAGGATGGAAACAAGAAAACATTGCAAGGCAATTATGACAACTATAATAAATAGGCCAATAAGAATGGCCATCAATTTCACAACAGACTTCTCCCCGCTTTTGAACAAAAATCGACGATTAAAGCGGAGTTTTTTTGCTAGAATGCGGGCAGCTCGTTCGTGTTTATAAACCACATGTAACATTGAACCAAACCAAAAGATAAGACCACAGCACGGCAGGAACTCGAAGAAAATCATCGTTATCCAATAATTAATTAAGAAAAGAGAACTGTTGTCGTTAAAAGCTAGCCATGTTAGAACGAAGGGGAAAATAACAAAAATTGAAAGTGCCCAAGAGAGAAAAATCATCTGAGAAACACGTTTGCGCGTCATGAATGTTAAGTACTTGAGAGGCTTCACAACAGCTATGTAGCGATTCAGGACTAAACTGCACAAGTTTGTTACAGACGCATACGCAAAAAGCTACCTTATTAATTCCCTGTTTTCTTTAAAAGCGCCGGGGCTGCATCCAGTTGTCTTCTCGCAGACGAAAAGTGGGAGAAAAGCAACCAGCCCAACACAGAAATCCGCCACTGCAAGAGAAACGACAAATACGTTGGTTTTGGTTTGAAGCCGCCGTCTTCTGCAAACAAGGAAGACGATAAATCCATTTCCAGCTATGGTTAAGATGGAAAGAGACCAACCGAGAATCCAAAACCAGGTTTCCATTTTTTTATCGCAAAAAATTGTTTTATACCAGTGATAACCATCTGTGGAAGGATCACAATCCTTGAATCCGCCTTCAGAAAATTAACAGCATTGACGTTTTTGATGCTTTAATTTTGTTTAGGGATTTATCACCTACACCAGAGATAAAGTAACTGTCAAAGAACAATGACATATCCTTTCCCCCAGAGTAAATTTCCGCCTTGAAGGATGAATACGTTAACTGGGCGAAACATTGACCTAGGCGCTCCTTGCAAATACTAAAACACTGTGAATAGGAATGGATTCCAAAGTATACTTGAGTCTTGCTAACGATTGTTAAGAAATAATTAAAAGCCAAATAAGGGGCAGCGTTCCCCTTCCATCTTTCTTTCAATTAAAATCAAATGTAATTTTTGTTATAAATTCGTCTTCAAGAATGTTAGCGCTTGTTTATCAGTCGTAGTTCAACATATTCCTCGTTACTGTAAAAAAGGAACTCTATAATGTTCCCATTACTTTCTTTTGAATGCACTTAATTTAGCGTTCTTCCTTGCCCTCGCCCCCGGCAAAAAAATCTTTAAAGGTATGCATGTGTGCTGTCTCTGCCGGTTGCGATCGAGTCATACACCACGAAGTGTATACTCTCTCTTGTGAATGAGCGCTGTGGTAGGTAAAATGTTTAAAAATGAAAAGATCATGTTCATGATGTTTATACGGCGCAACACATTCAAGGATATTCTTGATTGAGAGGTTTACATTTAGCTTTCAATGATCAGCTGGCTTAAACGATTTCAATTTCAAAACTGACTCTAATTTTTAAGAAAAGGTCCGCTTTGAATACAAAATAAACTCAGAATTCCGACCAGTATCAGGTATAGACAAGAGCCATTAACTGCTCTTGGTTTGTTTGAAAACATCGCCAAAAAGAGTCAATCATATACCAAAACCCGTATTTCGGCTGTTTCTATATCTTTTTAGTTTATTTTTACTATAAACTTGCTTCTCCTCAAAATGCGTGCAATTTTAAATTGTTTTCGTTGATTGCTAAGTCTCAAAAGTGCAACTTTACTCAGCCGCTTCCCAACAATCCTTCAATCTGGTTTAACGGCCAAAAATTACCACGCCATCTATTTTTAGCGAGTCGCATTATCCTCTTCTAATTTTATAGATGGCGAAAAAAAAGAGGGCAAAAGTTCTATTTTTGCCTTTTCACTGTCAAAAATATCGAA